GAGCCCGGGGTCCTGCGGGCCTGAGCGGCTCCCCGACGCCCCTCCCCGCCCTCCCCTCTCTCCCTGTCCCCACCCTTCCCCCTCCTCCTCCCCCCCGCCCCCACTCCCACTCCTGCCGCGGTTCCTGCTCCCCCCGGCTCAGGTGAGGCGGGGGCCGCCCCGTGAGCTCACCTGCAGTAGCCAGTGTCTGTTCGCCAGGACCCGCTCGTGTAATTAGTGTAATTACTCCTTCTGTTGATGCGCCGTCATTAATATTTGTCAAAGCTTTGGGCTTTTTCTTTTCTTAAAACACAAAACTCGCGGAGAGTCGTGTCCCCTAAAGCCTCTCACGCGGACTTTTCCCGCAGGAAGTCACCGAATTGTGTTCCTAGTTATCCGGGGTTCCCACGCCCCGCTCTGTGGCGGCATTCGGCAGGCACTCGTTCTTCACTCAGTGAGGGAATTAAGGGTGAAAGGAGGGCAGGCTTGAGAGGGACTTAGTTGATGCCTGTTTACTTTGCATTTGTGCATTTGCCCACTTCACGTTGTTACTTTTGTTTTTGTTTTTTCCCCCCATTGTTTCTACTACTGCCTTTCTTGTAAAGATGAGTCTGGGGTGTGGTTACAGTGAGCCTAAATGTGAGTTTTTCTTATTTAACCCCCAAGTTTCTTTGTTTTTAAATTATTTTTGAATGAAGTTTGCTACACCAACTTCTATAGGGGTAAACAAAGTTGATACTGACATAATCGGTATGAGAAAGAGCACTCCCTGTAGGTACTGAGCAGAACCAAGTGAGGGGTAAGCTCCGATGTGGGTGGAGGAAATATAACTAAGTTTAGCTTTATTAATTTTCTTTTGTACGTCATGGTTTTAGGTCCTGGTATCAGACTTTAAAATATGTAAATGGGGTTTTAATAAAAAAAAATGGCCAAAGTTTATATAATTTTTTAAAGCAATACCATAACTGGTAGGCTGAGATTTAGAAGTAGAGTAGCCTGGGGAGTTAGGCTGAGAAGTGAAAATAAGTAATCTGTACTTGAATCGAATCAAATCCATGTAAAGATCAAATTATTTTTGGTCCTGCTTCTGCTCTGCCCCCAGCTGTCTTTATTTTCTCCAGCTTGTTAGTGTATTTGGAAGGAGGTTAACGACCCCTCATCCCTTCTTGCAGGGACAGTGGGCGCTGGCAGCCCTCAGAAACCTTACCTCTTGGTGTTTCCCACATTTGATGTGTTACCTTTGCAGATGTTTAATCTACAAAGCTACGCGTCTGGCCCGTTAATCTGTTTCATTCGTGCGTTCATGCATGCGGCGGGCCCTGAGTTGGGCAGCTGGCTAAGATGGCGAAGAGCAGCGCTCCTGCCTCTAGTACTAGGAGGAGGGAGAACTTGACCAGGGTCACACAGCTAATAGTGATTACAGCTGACATCTATTAAGTGCTTTCTGTGTACCAGCCACTGGTAAAATGTTGAGTTTTAAATGTGTGTTGTCTCATTTAATCATGGCCACAGTTCTGTGGTAGTGACCACTGGAGTTTGAACTGTATCGTTCTTCTTTTGTTTTTATAAAATAATTAAAAACTGAAAAGTTGTATTCTAAGAACATTCGTTTTAGTCTGTGTCTGGGATGTGGGGGATATGGAAGTGCTATCTGTGAGCACAGGTACCATGATGCCATGAAGCAGCAATGAAAGCCAAGACTTTCTTTATGAGAAGAGTGTTTATATTTAATACCCGTAAAGCAAGGTTTTAGTTATACAGGGGGAATATTCTCTGTATTTCAGGGCCTCTTTGGAGTTCCTGAGCTCAGTGCCCCAGAAGGATTTCGTATCGCCCAGGAGACGGCCTTGAGAAAGGCGGACGAGCTGGTGGAGCGGGTGTGCTCCGTGCCACCTGGGCCCCAGACGGTGGCCATCTTCGACGAGCTGTCCGACTCCTTGTGCAGGGTGGCCGACCTGGTGAGTCCTGGCCCGAGCCGCCAGTGCCTCTCTCTCAAGCTGTCACAGTTTAAGCTGAGTGTTTAGGTTTAACTTGAGAGTGTAAGGTTAGAACGTCTGAACTACTTGAGAGCTGTTAGGTGTGATCCGTTACAGTCAAATGTGCTGTTGAAGGGGAAGAACGTGCAGGAAAAGGTGAACGTTAGAACTGGTGCTTGAATGTGTGTATTTAGTGAAAGACACATGTCGTGCGTGATGAAAGAACGATTACGCATGTGGCAAAGGTCCTTCACAGGACAAAAGTTCTTTCATGAAAACTACCAAAATTATAATAGAACATTTGTCTATACATTTACAAAAAGATTAATTAAAAAAAACTAGTTCTTGTAAACCTTTTCAGGAATGTCTTCTCTAATTAAAACCAAGGTTTTGACATCGACCAGATTCTATCAAAGCCTTCTTTTCCCCACATTTTGAAGTTGGAGGGGAGTGTGTGCAAGTCTCCTGGCCAGCTGAGGTGGAGGCCTGGTTCCTCCCGCCCAGGACGGCCGCGTCTCTGTCATCCTGTCAACAGCGAGGGTCATGGTGCACGTGTCCTAAATCATGGTCCCTCCTGAGCCTGTCTGCATGGTATCGGACCTTCCACAGCTTCCTCCCACCCTTTCTCCGTGGAGCCCCACCCGGCGCCCCGCGGGGAGTGAGTGCACAAGGGAGACGGACCCTGGCTCTGCCCTCATGGGGCAGGTGTTCCGCTGTGAACTGTTCTCCAGTTCTTACCGGGCGCGGGTCCTGGGGAGAGCTTTACCTACTTTGACTGATTTAGCCTTCTCGGCACATCCTCACTTTAAGATGAGGAAAGAAAGCCACTGAGGGGTTAAGTGAGGCCCAGGGTCACCTGGCCAGAGTGGCGGAGCTGGGCTCTGGGTCTTCCCTGCTCGTCTCCAGCCTCCCGGGCCGGTGGCGGCGACTCCGGCCTGGGGAGCCTTGCCTGGAGGGGTGGAAGTATATATTTTTAAAATGATCACGCGGTAGCGTGGACTCCTTAGGGGATGGGACATTTCTGTGAATTTCGACTCCCGGACACGCCACTGCCACAGTCAGGAGGCGTGACTATCACCCCAGTGATGTCAGACCCGCCTCCTCCTCACCCCGAGGGACCACCCACCTGTTCTCCACCCCTGTGGTTTGTCTTTTCTAGAATGTCAGGTAAATGGAATCATATTTACCTTTTGAGGTTGATTTTTTTTTTTACCCAGCGTAACATTTCCCCTTTTTCCTTTTTCAGAACATCTCCTTCCTCCCGGCACCTGCGTCAGCAGCAGCCCCTCAGTGTTAGCACAGTCACTGCTGGCAGCTCCCCGGTGTTAAGGAAATGGACAAAGTGCCTGTGTTAGGGGTTTTCCTGGGAGTGAAGTAAGATGTTACAGGCTCCTTCTGGCCAGTTCTGGGTTTCACTGGGTTTGGGTTCTGACCCTCCAGTGTGTGCACAGCAGGCGTACATCCGGATTTGGGGTTTGGGAGACCTCCTGCCAGAAACGAGGTCTTGACCCTCCTCTGCCTGGTTGTGTTGCTGAAGTCTGGATGGAAGATGCTGATCAGCAGGCTTCACTTACGTGCGATCAGGTGTTGGCTTTTGTGGCCCCAAATCCCAGACTTACTGCTGATTTGTTGCCTTAGCTTCCATCTCCATTAACCAGTGCTCTCGGATTTGCCCCACATTTTTACTTTTGCTTTTCACTGAAAGATTTTAACTCCTGCTCCATAGCTTGTCCTATTTTTGAAGTTTTTAAAAATATTCATGAAGTTTGATAATATTAAAAAAAAGACATGATTTATACATGTCAATCGTTAGGTGAAAAAGTTCAAAGAATCTTCCTTTTTGAATTTTTAAGACTTTACTTGCTAGTGAGATCAGTACTGTTATAAGGCAGTGGTTTTATACGTTCCCCACCAAATGGTTTTTTGTTTTCTTTTTCTTAATATAGTCGCTGTGTAACAGTATTTTCCTCAACACCACCACAAGTGAGATTGAAGATGTGTGCTAGTGTTTTGAGTTTTAATATTGATTGTAAATTCTGCAACACGTAGGTCAGTGATTTATACTCTGTTGCGATTTTTACATAGCTCGCTTCTCAGGTGCTTCAGTGCTGATGTTGTCCTGCTGTTTAACAAGTGTTGTATCAGACTATGGATTCAAATGGTTTTACATCAAAAACTGTTTGATAGTAAAATCAGGAAGTTTGATCTTGTGGTGATTTTATTTTGTGTAATAGTCACACGTCTTCACGAGAGAGAAGAAGGTGGGTAGTGCTTTGTCATTTCCCTGCATTGCCCTTTTGCCTTGTGATGCAGTTAATGTGGAGACTAAAGTCTGATTTTATGAAGTTTCATTTAAAAAGATTCTAAGGTGAATTCTCAGGTCAGTGTAGCAGCCCTAGTCCTGTGCCGGGGAGGCGGCCGCGGGCCCCCCTGCTCGCTTCACACTGGTGGAGAGAATGTGCCTTGTCTTCTGCACCGAGGCTGGGGTGCAGCCCACTCACCTTGGAACTGCACCAGGTGTCAATTCAAGAAGGAAGAGCCTCCCTGAGTTCCCTGAGCCAGGTTAGTGTGAGGACCATGGTGCAAAGACTCAGATGGAAAGTTCCAGATTATCTGAAACAGGAGTCTGCTTTTCTGACCGATAGAAATAGGGAGAATTTGCCTGATGTTCACATTTGAGGGAGAGAGACTTCCTACAGCAAAGCTGGTAGGAGTATTTCCTTTGCAGGGAGGAGCAGAAATCATGACGTTCAGGAAAGTGTCAGTGACACAGACGCCAGGGTCCAGCCAGCGACCTGTTTAAAATCACAGGTTTGCATTTCTGTCCTCAGATCCCAGGGGAGACACGCCATCACGTTCCCTTCTGGTTTTGTCTCCCCCAGGCTGACTTTGTGAAGCTCGCTCACCCCGAGGCTGCCTTCCGAGAGGCGGCTGATGAGGCCTGCCGGAGCATCGGCACTGCGGTGGAGAGGTACGTGCGCTCCTTCCCCCAACGGGGTCCCGACCGTGTCGGAGGAGAGGCCTGGGCGGGGACACCAGCGGTGACACCTGGCCCTGGGGCGGCCCGAGGAGGTGGACGTCCTTGCTGACTTTCTCCCAGTTCCTGGGGCTGAGGCCGGCCTGCCCTTCTGCTGAGCGTTTCTCAGCTGGTGGGGCCGCCTCGTGCCTCTTGTGTTCGGGGTGGCCCGTGAGAACTGTGGCAGCAGAAACCCATGGACTTTTTGACTGAACTGACTGGGCAACCTGACCATCCCAGAGTCCCTAGTGGGAACTGGCAGGTGGCTCTGGGAACATGGGCCTTCCCTGGGGATCCCCGGGCCAGGAGCCGGTTGCTCCTAGAGCAGCCGCCAGGGCTTGTTGGTTTCTGGGGCGGAGGACTCGGGACCCGATGGTGGTACTGCAGGTGGGTTGAGAGTGGTGCTCAGGCAGGGGCCTGGGTGGGCTGGTGCAGCCGATGGGGGTGTGGGCCGTGCCCGGCGTCTCATTTAACCCTTGGGGTGGCCAAGGCTTTCACCGGCTGGGACAGCTTGCCCCAGGTCACAGAGTAGCTGTGGGGCTTATGTTGCAGCGGGTGTGTGACTTGGAAGCCTAACCTCAATCTGTCCCCGTGGTGTGGACCTGCCTCTTACCCAGGTGAGCAAAGGCCCCTGGCCCTGTGGGCTCAGGGCAGGATGGCAGGTGTGTGTTCCTCCTCCCTCCCATCCCCCCTCCTTTTCTAGAAAAACAAATGGTTCTGGATGGAGGTGGGACCCCACCCTGTCTGCTCCTCTGGCCCCAGCTATTGACTGTGGCTTTACATTTGTCCTTTGACCTTCCAGGGTAACTACCCTGCTTCATACTGACCCACTGCCTGTCCTGTACTAACTGTTGAGGTGTTCGTGGTCCAGAGGAAGAAACAAGACAAAAAGCAGCCCGGACCTCTGGGCGTGTGTGCTGGAACTTGACTACATTCTATTGATGTAAAGAAAGAAAAAGTGTTAGAAAGTCTTTTAATTTTTTTTGTTTCTAATTTTTCCAGGCTGAACACAAATGTGGAGTTACATCAAAGTCTGCAAAAATTACTAGCTGATAAAAAACTTGTGGATTCTCTTGATCCAGAAACCAGGTACTCCTTCCCTTGCATTCATTGTGATTGTGACTGTGAAGGTGAGACTGGTGTCCCCACGCTCACAGCCCCTCTGTCTGGACTGTTTCTCCCCAGGTGACGGGCCCTGCACCCTCCTTAGGACTCACTCCACAGTGTGTCCTCCCACGTTCCGCCTGTCCCACTCCATCCTCCTCCCTGCTTTGCTCTTGGTCCCGACCACTCCCGTGTTGCCCCATTTGCTCATGTGTTGTGTCATCATCCCTCTCCCCCTGGGCCGGAGGCTCCTTTAGGGCAGGGGCCTGGCCTGATAGCTCACTGCCGCATCCTCGGTGCCTCCAGCCGCTGCGGCCACAGCAGGAGCCTCACCTGTGAGCGAGTCCTACTGACAGTTGGGAGTTGCGGTTAGCTGCGTTCTTGAAGTTCGGTGGGTGACACACCAGAAGGCGCTAGCTGGTTGGTTTTATTCACTGGTGGACGTCAAGAGCCTTGAATGATGTGCTTCGGTTCCTTAGATTCCAGTTACTGATCTGAATTGAAAAGACCTAATTTCTAGGTCGGTTCACAGATAAATTTGCTGCGGCGCTTCGGGGATTATGTTTCTTTGCTCAGGTTTACTTATAAACTGTAGTGGGGTCTGTCTGTCCTCACCTGCGTGTCACCTGTGTCACAGCACAGAGACTGGCATTTTTCTTACCTGCTTGTGCTCACCTCGGTCCCCACTTACTTGGTCCCTCCTCCTCTCCGGTCTGTCTCCGTGTGTGGCTTGTGTTCCCCGGGGATCAGCTGAGGACAGTCTTGCCTTAACCCGGGTGTGAGAGGCGGGAGGGGCTGTTTTCCCCTGCCTGCAGGGGTGCTCGCTGCTCCCGCTTCACGTCACTGATCTGGCGCTCGGGCCGCGCTGGAGCTCGCTGCGCCGTCAGTGATGTGTCTGTCGGACTGTCACGTTGCCTGCCTTAGCAGGGTGAGTGAAGGCCGAGCCCCTGCCACCTGCCCGGCGTGTGCTCGGCTGGTGTGACGCTGCGTGGCCACAGCTTCCTCACGGCCTGACTTCACTGATTCACTTTCCTGCACGTACTGTATGAAAACTGAGGTGCGCTAGCAGACTGGGAGCAAAGGACTCGTGCTGACAGGACACGGACCACGTTTCTAGACGCTGCTAAGATGCCAGTAGGAGCTTTAAAATAACGAAGTGATACATACATTAAAAATGGGCTGGGAAGAAGATGGATATTCCAGAAAGGAAAGGTGACTGGTGAGCGGGAGAGTCCGAAGTGATGTGTGAACTCTGGCACTGGGACTCCGCCAGCAGTGTCGTCTGGCTCCCAGAGCGCCTGCGTGTGGTGAAGTGGCGGCTGTGGCCAAGCAGCGGGCCATCCGTCCTGGCGGTAACGCAGAGAGGGAGCCGTGGCACGTGTTCACAGGTGCGCTCCCTGAAGCCCTAGTTCTAGGAGGCATGCAGACATCTTCCCAGAAGGGCCCCGCTGGTCAGAAAGTTTGGAAATCAGACACAGTAACGCAGCATTTTCCCCTCTTGGAGAGTTTCAGTATGTGAGAGGCTCCGAGGAGCCCAGCCATAAAGAAACCTGTTTGACTTGGGGTTTTCCGGAACCAGCAAGAGCTTTCTTGTGTGCAAGGAATTTAACAAGCACGCTGTCCAGAAAGCACAGTGGAGGCGAAGCCCAGTCCCAAGAGCAGCAAAAGCTGAAATCCACGTGGGGGCGAACACCGGAGGGCAGAGCGCAGACCCTCCGCGTGCACGCACGCACGCACGCACACGCCCGGCCCTGGGAAGCGTGTAAGGGCATATTCAAGTGGGAAGCAAGCTGTGTCTAGGCAGCAAGAGGAACCTGACGCTCTGTGCGGCTGTGGGAGTCGGGCGCTGTGTGAGGTGGGGGCTGTGTGAGTTGTGCGGCTGTGTGAGGTGGGGGCTGTGTGAGTTGTGTGGCTCTGTGAGTCGGGCGCTGTGCAGCCCACAGCTGAAGAAAATCTTTGTTGTTGTCGCTTAAGATGGTCTGAAGCCGTAGGTGATAAATATGCCAGGCTAGGCGGGGAAGATCTGGTAGAGGAAAGTGCTGGAGGACTTGTTCCAGGTAGTAAGACACACTGTGAAGATGCTGTGTTTAAAAGAGCGTTTTATACTTACGTTGGAAAAGTCAATTAAGTCAATGAGAGAATAGAGAAATTTCAGTCACAGACACATGAATGCATGACTGAATTTGGGACGTGATAGAAGTATTGTTTCTCATCAGGAGGGAAAGACTTGGTTTTCAGTAGTGATGGCAGGCCAGTGGATAACTATTTTGGGAAAATAAGTTATTTTGATTTAAATATTTTTTAAAAAGAAACCATGAAAGTCCTGATAATTTTGAAATGTGGAAGGTCTTTCTTCACATGATACCAAAATCAGACCTTGAGAGAAAGATTGATTTGGTTATATAAAAATTGCAGACTTTGATCTGACAAAGCCCTTCCCCATTCAGAGTCAGAATACACAGCAGGACGGATGTCACTCACGTGGCAAAGGGTTGACACAGTTACTGTGTTGAGAGGCCTTACAAATCACCAAAAAAGAAAAAAGCAAATCTGTCTCATAGGAAAACAGGCGAGGGATCCTTTTCCTAAAACTCATTTCACAGAATAAAGAACAGCATCAGATGCTGTTAGAGGAACAAGTGCCATGCGTGTGACACTGGTGGTAAGTGTGACGTCGTGGCCGGAGGCCTGGCCCCCAGAAGTGGACCCGCAATTGGATGCTGGTTCTGTAGCTCTCCAGGCCTCAGGTGTACCCCCGTGAGAGGCGAGTAAAAGGACGTCCTGGGGCGACCATGAGGCTTACGTGAAAGGACCCGTGTGCCTTGCCCTCTGGGCACCTGGCGCAAGGCAGCCGTGTGGTGGGGGCCCCCCGGCTGGCGGGGCTGAGGGTGAGGGGAGCACCGCGGTGCTGGCGCTGATGCATCTCACGGAGGACAGCAGGTGGCAGCTCGATGTGCAGACTTTCTGATCAGCTTAGTTTCTTGGACTTTATCCTGAGGAGGTAAAGAGGTGATGTTGTGTGATTCGAGGGGGTGGGGAAATGAAAACACTTCTAGTCCGTGTGACGAGACAACGTAAACATTCAAAAGCCGCGTTTTTAGAGAATGTTTAAAGATAGGGACATTCGATGTTCATGATGCAGTTTTACAGGAAAAAGCAAGGCACCAAAGTCTGTGGTTGGTCCCAGCTGGTGTAGGCAGGGGTGTGACAGCTGAGTGGGTTGGATGGGAGCCAGGGGCTGTGGTGTCAGCCACCTGGCCGGGGTCGTCACCAGACCAGACATGCTGCCTCGGGCTGTGCTGCTCAGGACGAGAGTCCTGTTGGGAGTCCCCCCGCCCACCTGGGCCGGCCCCCCGGGACGGGGGTGTTCCAGGGTCAGGGAGTCAGATCAGCGCACCTAACGTTCACGCGGACTCGGCATGTGTTCTCCAGTACCTACTGTGTGCTGGGCACTGAGCTGCCTTCTCCAGGCTCGCCTGCTGTAATCAAACATGCTCCTCACAGCCTTAAGAAAGAATGGAAGACGTATACTGGAAGGAAAAACAAGGATTTTAATAGTGGGTTGTTTTTGTTTTAGCGATTTTAATTTTTTCATACATGTCTACGGTAAAGCTGTTATGCAGTAAGGCTGTATTGTGTAATATGATAAACTTGTGTTACCTAATAAATTCTCACCCCAATTTATCACCCCCTACTATCTTTCTTTTTTCTTGTTGAAACGACAGAAAATACCTTTGCTACAAGAGAGTGGTGTGACTTTGAGGTTGACTGTGGAGGAAGGGGGATCAGGGTGAGGTAGAGGCCGTTCTGGGCCTGAGTGAAGCACTTTACATTATTTAAGAAAGACCGTAAATGACTTAAGTTACTAATGTGGTCTGTCGAACGTTAAAAATTTTAGAACTTTAATTCCGTTCATGCAATATATTGGCACCCGATAACCTGGAAGATAAATATATCCATTATGAAAAGTCAAGGAAAGCCATGAGAACAGATCAAATATTTGGATAACTTAATTCCAGCAAAAAGTAGTTTTAAAAAAAAAAGTTCTTGACAGAAAGAAGTGCTACACTTGAAACTGGCCCCAAGCATGCAGCAGGATCAAAAAGAAAGAAAACAGTCCTCATTAGCCAGGAGACTCAGCGTCCGGCCCAGCATCAAAGGACTTCATGTTCTAAGTAGCTGCCACCAGTTGGAGGAAAAACTGAACACCTCATGCCGAAAGCCTTTGAAAACCTGTCCAAGGATAAGCTGCTTTATGTTTTTAATTACGGGGACTTGGATGGAGTTGAAATGAGTAATCATCACGGCAGCGTTTACAGGTCTGTACTCTGAATACAGGAGCGCGCTCCACGGGGCGAGCGGCCGCTCCTGGTTGTGCTCTGCAGCACCGACGTGGTGGCCCTGAGCCCTGGTGGAAGCTTCTGCTTCTCTGCCTCCTGCCCTTCGGCTTCCAGAGACCCGGCCCAGGGATGGTCTGCTGCCACGTGGCTGGGCATCATCCGGCCTCAGCACGACCTCTGAGGAAAATCCCGTCTTCACCCCACAAGTATGTTTTCAAGAATTAAATGAACGCTGTTGGAGCTTATAGCAGAGGCCCCTGATTAAAAACTGTGGATTTCTACAAAGCACGTTACTTCTCTTTTAGTAAAACCGATGTCCGCGCTGTGAGGTGGCCCTCCGCTGCCTTGACGCTGACCGGCTGAGCATGTTTATGAGTGCTGCAGATCGCTGTCTCCTGGGCACCAGCGTCCCTCGCTTTCTTTGAAGAGCCGTGTGTCCCAGCCCACGCCGTTGTGGCACAACACGGGAGTGTCTTGTTTCCAGTGCACACGTGTTTTTTCATTTATGAATTTGGTGTTTTGAATTTCCTGGTCCCTTGTGGGAAAGTAAATGATACTAAAACAGCTTCGAATTAGAAAGGGAAAGATGAACTTCCAAGTATAAAATAACCACAGGGGAAATCTGATGAGCAGTTGCCCTTCGCTTTGGACGTGACCCAGGGTGCTCTCTGTTCTCTTACTGCTTTTTATTCTTGCTGATACTTGACGTTCAGGTGAAGCCATTACACGTTAGGAAGATTAGGGCATGTTGTAAAGTTTGAAGATACGTTTTATGATCAGTAAAAACTGTATGTGTGTCAAAGCATGCTTGTACTAATTCCTGAAACAGTGAGGAATCTTCCCTCACAAGGGGCGAGGACGGCGGGCTAAAGCAGAGGAAGAGCCTGCACTTGGATGTGATGCAGGAGAAGGTGAGGTTTACATGCTGCTGACGTGTCCGAGGGCACTGCTGATGCTCCCCGCCAGCTCCCTCAGCACGGTTTGTACCCGTTACGAAACTGGTCATTTCTTTTACCTTGCCTTCATTCATTCAGAGAGAATGTGTCCCGGGCTGGGACCATGCCTTACGGGACGTGTGTATGGGTCTCCACCCGCGAGCAGCTGGGAGTGTAGTTCTGTTGAATAACACAGGCTAAGTGTGAACCGTGTGTGCACGCTCACCATGTCACAGTGAGGCGGCATGTGTGTCTGTTCAGCACTTACTGGTGTGCTGCGTGTGTTATACAGCAGATATTTTTGAAGGAAGACAGCTGGATGGCTGAAAAGATGTCCATTTCCTCTAGAAAGAGGCAGCCGGACATTTGGCCCTATTGGAGCAACTGTCATTCGCTGGGCTCAGGTTTGGGCTTGCACAGTTAGCGCAGTGTACGTGGCACCAGCTCGTCTGTAGGAGAACATGAAAGCCCATCAGCCTGGCTTCTAAGATGTTAAGCTCCTGGTTTCAAACAAACCGTGTGTGCGCATGTGCGGAATCGTCTGGCTTTTTGGTAGTAAGTTGAAAAGATGGATTTATTTTGCAAAAAACTGGTTTTTGTTAATAATTATTACCTGTTGTAACCTGGGCTCATTTTGTTTGTAGGCGAGTGGCTGAACTGTTTATGTTTGATTTTGAAATCAGTGGGATCCATCTAGACAAAGAAAAGGTAACTCTTTCCTCTGTTTTTTGGCTCCTGTTTTACTGATACTAAGTTGGTGTCTTGTTGCTACGGCTGCGCTTCTTGTGTGTGGCTTGGATTTCCATATTACAAAAATGCATAGGTTGTTCATGCGATGAAACTCTTCTGTAGGTTGCATTGGAACATAAAGCTCCCTGGAAGCTGGCCTGTCACCCACAGTAATTCAGAATTAGAAGATGACTTGCTACGCGTGGGACGTCTCAGGTGTCAGGGAGTTGGGGTGAGACGGGCAGCGGCAGGAAGGCAGCGAGTGAATGAGGAGGGTGACCCCATCGAAGGTCAGGTCTGAGGCAGGTGTGCGGGGAGCACATGAGGACTCACGTGCGTGTGATTATCCGCGCAATACCTGTCCTCAGCAGATCCCCACGGCTTTGCTCCGGAAGCAGCAAGCCTGGGTTGTGTGATGTTCAAGCTGGGGTGGGAGGGGCCTTCTGATCTGTCCAGGCCCCTCATTTTACAGAAGTGGACACAGGACAGAGTGGTTTGTTCGGGTTCCCGTCCTAAGTTCCCAGGACCTCTCACCCCGGCCACTGCTCTTTCTAGAACCCGACATCCCAAGTGCTCAGTCTTTTCTGCATGAGGCCTGGGGTTGAAAGAACAGGGTGGCTCAACCAGCCCTGGAGGGCCTTCCTGCTCCCCAGCGTCTCCCCCACCTGCCTGCACCCAGACCGTTCCAGCAGTGCTGTCTGTCTCTCTGAGATACATCTGTGTCTCTTAATAGAGTACGAAGCTGCTCACCTGTCAGTAGAGGTTGCTTTATCAGAGCATCTTAGGCAGTAGAGGGCGGGTCTTGGGGATACGTGTCATGCATAGGCACCATCATTTCGACTGGAGCTGAATTTGAGCAATGCTGGGTTCTCTCTCACATCCATGTCCTTACGTGGCCTTACGGGCTCAGCGCATGACTCCTGGCCTGACACAGCAGTCCCCGAGGCCTGTGGGGTCGACCGCAAACTCACATCGCCTGAAATGGATGCATTGCCCCTTTGCAAAGCAGTTTGTGATTAACGCCTCTGCGCCAGTCATGCCGCCATTCTCTGAGACGCGCAGATGGAGCTTTGGAGCCAGTTTGCGTTGTTGCTCTTCCCGGAGCCCTCACGTCTTAGCGACCAAGCCCGTGGAGGGTTTCGGTAGAGCTGCTCGCTTCTGTGCCTCCCCGGAGAGACGCATCTTGATCCTCATCACCAGACGCCTGGGCCCCCAGAAGCCCTCGTCTTCCTGACGCTCGCTGTGACTAACAGCGATTGAGCGTTTGCTGTTTCAGTCATGTTTCTCGTCAGGTGCTTCCTCATAACAACCCCGAGGCTGGTACTGTTGCTCCTGTCTCGCGGGTGAAGGCGCTGGAGGCCATGCGTGTGACCCAAGGCCACAGGGCTTGTAGGAGGAGGTGGCCTTTCCGGAGCCTGCCTGGGGGCCCTGCCTGCAGGCCTCCGGGTGGTCCGTCTAACCTGCCTGTGAGCACTGGAGTCACTTCCTCAAAGCCTTGATTTCGTTGTCACTCTCCTGCCCGGAACCGCCAGTGACTTCTCACTGCCTGTTGAAAGGGTGTAAGTGGCAGCTCATACGCAAATAGGGTCCTCGAGGCCCTGCTTTCCCAGAGTGACTCCTGACCCCCTGCCCCTGTCCCCTGCCCTGTGTCCCTTCGCCCTTGCCTCAGGCCAAGGTGTCTGAGGAGCTTTTGTCATCCCTTCTGTCCCCCATCCTGGTGGAATTGTGTATTCGTCTGAACTCATCCATTTGTTTCACGCGTGCAGCATTTGTCTGTGTGTGAGTTGTCATTGCTGTGTTGCGTGTCGCAGTCCTCGGCCTCGCGGGTCAGGGAGTGGGTCCTTTCTCAGCGCGTCCGGTGTTGGGCGGAGTGGGTGTGCACGATCGTGCTAATGCTGCTTGTCGTCAGGCTGGGCGCCTTCTGGGGGAGGTTGCCAGGGAGAGTCCTGGGCATAACTGTTGTATGTGATCTCCGTGGAAGATGTTTTGGCAGCTTTATTCGAGTGTAACATGTGCGAGGTCAGGGTCAGCCTCCCCCGGCCCAGACCGCTGCTTTCGCCTAACGCGTGTCCTCCCAGGGCAGCTGCCCGGCCCGGCAGAGCGGCGCCCGCACCCACGCTGAGGGCGAGAGTGGGCTAAGCCTCGTCCTCCCACATCCGTGGTTGGCGGTGCCCCCTCGGATGGGGTGGAAGGAAGACATGTTAACGTGTAGAAAAAGAGCTCAAAATAAACCTACAGTGTAACCTAAAGTTATCGAGGCCTGCTGTCTTCCTCTGTTCTTTCCAGATTATTTCTTACTTAATTTTTAAGGTCTCATGAAGATAACTGAAACATTTAAAGGGAGTGTGTTCCTTAGCAGTCATTTAATAAACACAACAATTTCATAGCCTTCTTAGAGCACCATACATTTAAATACCTCAGTGATGAAATCGTATGCGTTAGCAGACTGTCGGTGAAGTCAGGAAATAAACAATTTGCATTTTTCCAGGGATTGTAACGGGTGGCAAATTCTTTGGAATAACTTTATCACGTTTTTTATTTCAGTAAGTAAAGGCTTTGAGGAAAATTTTGGAAACTATCCTGCAATTTCCGATACCTTTCATTTTTTTGGTTATTCCACTGGTCACCAGCAGGTGGTGACAAACGGCCTCCTCAGAAACAACAGGCAGAGAGAAGTCTGGACGTAAAGACCTTGGCGTGTCCTGAAACTTACTTTTCCCACGATGTTTGGATTTTACACATCGAAAATGCTTTTGGTTATTAATATATGTACTTTTTACAGTTTATTATCAAGGGCACATCTGCATCATTCATAGTTAGTTACCTTTTTGAAAACAATGAGTGCTGTGGAGTCGCTTTTGAGGGTCAGAGAGTAGTTTAGAATCTGTTAATGGCTACTGACCCCCTTCTCAGAAAGGTCTGTGTATGATTCCACCGTGAGCCCAAGTCCAGATGCCCCTCCAGTTTTCCTGGAACAGGTGACTGAAGATGCTGACTGGTCACCAGTTACCACTGTGGACGGCAGAATTAAGTTTCATCCCAAACGCTTGTGGTGCCCCTCTGACGGCACAGGGTTTCTCAGGAGCTTGTGTCTGAAGACTGAAGACAAACCCACTCTGGGCCGACGGCCCCTCTCGAATCGTCGACAGTGCCTGAGGCTGGAGGACGCGGTCCTGGCGGTGGGCTCCAGCCCCTCCTCCGGTGGCCCCTCCAGTACGTTCCCGGCAGAGCTTTGAGATGCCCCTTCTCTGCACTTCAGGGAAGAGCTGCAGGGAGGCCCTTCCTCCGCCCTCGTATCGACCCTTTTAAGACTGAGTATGTTTTCTAATCAGCCCTTCAAATACTTACTGTTTTCTGTCCAAAAATACTTTCAGGTGTTGTTATGAGAGAGATCCACGACGCCTGGTTCACTTAGGTTTCCCAGTGGGCTTAATTTCGCAGATTATAGAACTCAAAGTAGCACTCTAGCAGTTACGTAATCTTAAAGCTCACAGACGTCGTAAAACCAAAAGGGTAACTTTTTGGCCAGTCATCAAAAGTAGAGTTAACATTTGTCGTGTGTTGTTACCCATTATACATTTAAGACACCATATGTTCAGTATACATTTTATCCCTGAGTGTATTTACTGTCTTACTAGTTTGTGATTTAACTGTGTCTGCTGACTTGCTGCCTTTAGAGACTGCCTCTTCAGTTAGGCGTGAAACATTAACTTTCCTGCCCCCGTGTACAGCGTAAGAGAGCGGTGGACTTGAATGTGAAAATCTTGGACCTGAGCAGCACGTTTCTCATGGGAACCAACTTTCCCAACAAGATTGAGAAGCGGCTCTTGCCGGAACACGTTTGGCAGCACTTTGAGCCGGCCGGGGACCACGTCGTGGTGGACAGTCTGCACGCGGAGGCGCCGGATGACTTGGTGCGTGTGCCCCGTACCGCATGTAGGTCAGGCCCCGTCACTGCTGCCGTAACCCCAGATCCGGGGATGATACAGTCACACCTTCAGAATACGTTGGTGCCGCTTTACACTAAAAATTTAACTGAGGATCGTTAATTCCGTAAATGCTTTGAAGAACGAAAGCAGTTTAATTACTCTGGTCTCATAAAGGGCTCTTCCTTTCCGGGGGCTGATGAGCAGAGGGACGATCGCCAGTCCCGACTGCTCAGGGCTCCGATGCAGGTGTCTTCCCCCAGGGACGATGCTTTGCGGCACGTGCACTGGGTCGTTGTGTCCCTCCCCCGGCTCCCAGCAGAGACCCTGGTCGAGTGTGATGGTGTCTCCTGTACTAGCTGGTGAATCCAAAGGCTTCATTCATCTTGTGGAAACTGTTATTTTATTTTTAAGCATCGCTCACCTGCAGAATGGAGTGGTGGGGGGCTGCCTCTGTTTTTACCACGTAGGACTTTGTTTTGTGGTGAGTGTGTTTCACCATTTACTCTTCAAACAGGTGCGAGAAGCTGCTTATAAGGTTTTTCTGTATCCCGATGCTGGTCAGCTGCAGTGTCTAGAAGAACTGCTCAGCAACAGAGATCTTCTGGCCCAGTTAGTGGGGTATCCTACCTACGCCCACAGAGCCCTCCAGGGAACGATAGCCGGAAACCCAGGTGAGCCTGTTGATCCAGCTTCTGAGGACAAAATAGGGTTTTTATGGAGCTGAACTCCTGCTTTTAAGTAGCTGTGAATTCGTGTTCTCTGTTTCATGTCCTTAGAGACTGTTGATGGAGGTTGTCTGTGTCATCATTAGACACGACTTTTAAATGGAGCTAATAATTTGGAATATGTCCTGTCCAACCAATGTATTTTGTTGGCATGTTGAGAGCAGGTCATACTTAAAGTTTCACTGATGCTAATTTAAATTATTTTTGTTTTAACCGAACTGGTCTCTGTGGTCAGTCTAACCAGATGGGTTAGGCTTAGCGTGAGGCAGGACAGACACGCTGTCTGTCTGCTCAAGTCGAGGCTGAGTGCAGGCCAGGTCACATAAAACCACGGAGCCCCCACCTGCACTGAGAGAGGAGGGCTGCCTGGGGAGGTTGGTGCCGGGTCCCCACCTGTGCTGAGAGAGGAGGGCTGCCTGGCGAGGTTGGTGCCGGGCGGGAGCGTCTCCCCTGGGGCTTTGATGAGCTTGCCGTGTGCTCTGTGGGGTTCTTTACAGTTTATGATGTGAGAGAAAATGGCATAACTGTGTGCAATACGTTGATTACATTTCAGTTAGTTTAGACACTGGGTCCGGGGTCGGGTGGTCGTGATGGTGGAGCTGTTGAGAGTCCAGGTGTATTCTAGGGGTTCGATTCACATGACTTTGTGATGGGTTGAGAGGAAGGAGGACCTGGCAGGGGCCACCCTGGATTCTGGTCGTGCATCTGGAGGGGCCGTAGCATCGTGAGAGGGGGTTTGTGAGCGAGAGGGAGCTCTGCAGGGGAGGGTCACTTCCGTGGGCCTGTCCCGTGTGTGTCCTTCCCGCAGTTATCCCTTCTTCCTCTGCTATGTTCATAGCTTCTCCGAGGTTTCCTTGGGTCCACCCTGCCTTGTCTCTCTTTTGTGGGCAGCCCTGTCCCTTGGCCTGGTGGGGCCCACTGGGCAGCCCTGGGCGTGTCCCACTCATTCTGTGGCCCCTCCTGTTCCCTGCATGTCTGCCTGTGACAGTCCTGTCCAGTGTTCTAGTGCTCAGCTCAAAACCTGCCTGTTAAACGTTTTCACATCCCTTAGACCCCCTGTCCCTGAACCCTTAGGATGCTTGCAGTTTGTTTTGGGTGGTTTATCTCCTGAACAGTTGTAACGTCACCTGAGTGCTTTTCCATAGTCACTCTTGTCACCCCAGTGTTACGATCAAGTGGCATTATTTTACACAAGTAATGACGGTGTGACGCCAGCTCTGGGCCGTTGTTTCATTTAATTCCTCTGCGGCCGTGTGAGGTAGACAGTAGTACCCATTTCACAGATGGGGAACCCACGGTGAGGTTAAACTGCTAAGACTTGGCTGAGCTGAAGCCCAAACCCCAGCTCTATATCCGTGGTCTACGACAGGCCACCAGAGACCACAGCCCTGTCTTTTCTGCCACCCACCTTGTCCACGTCCGTCCACTGAGTCGGCGGAAACAGTCCACATGCCAGGTGTTACCAGGGCTGGGGGCAAATCCCTGCACAACGGGCCGGGATCCCTGCTCGTGTGTGGCGTGTACTCCTGTGAGGGAGACAGACAAGAACCAAAAGCAGGTAAAGCGTGTGTGTGTCCGTGGTCAGCACAGGTTGCGGGGAAGAGGACTGGGTGGGGCAGAAGCGGTAGGGAGGCGACCTGCCATCTAACAGGATGCCCAGGGCGGTTGCCCGGGTCGCAGGCCCAGGCCTGGTGGCTGCTGTCAGAGGCGGGAAACCCCCAGCTTCGCTCCTGGTTTAGGTCAGCCTCCCTTTTGCCCCAGCGTTTTATTTTACTCAAAAAGAGATAATTTGAAGAGAGCAAGAAACTTAAAACCATTTAGAAGATCGTCTGGAAAATAGAAGAAGTGTTTGTGGCTCCCTCTGAAATACCTATGAAAGCTCTATCCGCGTAAATCAGTGGCAAAAGGTGCTAAATTCAAAAATACACGTGAAAAATGTCCTCTCACGGGAAATGATGGTGATTCCACTACATGGCCTTTATGGGTTTGTACAGTGTAATGACTTACGGCTGGAGTATTTTAAGTAGTAAAAAGGTTATAACAGCTTAAATTTTTAATGTTCTAATTTTGCTGTATTTTCTTTAGATAATTGGTCCTGAATAGATCATTCTGGTGTTGGGTGTAAAAATAAAAATAGTTGCTCCCCCAAAACATCGATTTTTAAAATCTGGTCCTTAAAACTGTGCTGATTTTTATGAACACATCAGTGTCTTGCTGTCACTTGAAAACTCGCAAGAATTTAGACACATCTAAGAAACGTTTTTTTTCCCTTTCGTGTATGAATACATAGAAACAGATGGAAACTTTGCATTCTTTTCTCTCGCTCCCCATTAACTCTTTATTTGGGGATACAGCATAAGACTTCGGATTATCACCAGGTCAGTTTAACTTGTTTTCCTCATGAAGAGCTGGCACCGTCTGGAAGTGCCTAGTGGACGCCAGCAGCCCCGCTTCCTCCGAAGTTCCCCGCCTTGAGGGTGCGCAGTGCGTGGATTCTGTGAGCAGCACAGTAATTTTAACAGGTATGTTCGTTTTATTTTACGTAATTAAAGGTGTTTTCTTTTGGATTTTCGTTTTAGAGACCGTCATGCAGTTCCTCGAGAAACTATCTGACAAACTTTCTGAAAGGTTAGTTTTTACTCCACTCCTCAGCGTGTGTGTGATTTAGGTTTTGTTTTTAAAGACTTGATTTATTAAAAAATGAGGACGTGGCCTCTTAAGAATATAAGCGTTGGAATATTGAGTTGGATCTGTGGGCTCAGCCAGCAGGAGTTTAAGTTAACTGTGAGATGTACTTTGAAAGCACAAAGGTGCCTTAAGGTGACGACCTTGGACAGCTAGGCCGTCCCCTCTGGTTAACCAGGCCGTTGTTTCAGGAGTGCATCATTGATGTGTAGTTTTTAAAAATGCCCAGGCCCTTCTGAGACTATATGTTTTGGCTTGTACAGTCCATTCTGTAGCAAGCTCACAGGGTAGCCTTTCTCTTCTTTTGGTCTAAGTACGGCGGCTCATGGGCGTGTCAACAGACCTGTGTTTCCGTTTTGTGCGTTTCAAGAGGGCTCGGCCTCAGCGTTGCAGACCAGGCTGGCATGCTCTCCTGTCCTCGGTGGGACCCGCCCGCCTGCTCCCGCTGCGCTGGCCCTCTGGTGGCGGCCCTCGTCCTCCGTGGCGTCTTGTAGGGTGCGGCTGAGGCCTGTCCCCAGGAGCCTTCGGACGCTGGGGGCTCCAGGAGGAGGGGTGTCACGGTTCGTAGGAGACGGCTGATGCCCTTTCTCCCAAAGCCGTCTCACTCAGCTGCTGTTTGCACCAACAAAGTCAATTTTAGCCCAAATTTCCATTTTCTATTGTAAACATGTGCCTTAGAACCCAGTCCTCTCCAGTTTGGGCTGTATCTGTCAATTCTAAAGTGGTCTAATCCAGTGAACTGTTGTGGCTTTGATACAATGAAGTAGTGTTACCTACACAGTTATTTGAGAATTTATTCTGCTTTGGTTTGCTGGCTAAGTGTTACTGTTTTTCACTTGTATGTAGCTGTAGATTATATTTTGGGCAAATATAGCTCCATAGTTTTTATTAAAAAATTTTACTTGAAGTACAGCTGGTTTACAAGTCGTGTTAATTCAGGTGCACAGCATCGTGACTCAGTTGCACATGTATGTGTGTATGCTCCTTTTCATGTTCTTTTCCATTGTAGGCCATTACAAGGTATTGAATATAGTTCCCTGCGCTGTACAGTAGCCCCTGGCTGTTTATATATCTTCATAATTTCACAGTGGTTTATAGCAGTTAATTCTAACAGAAACTTCATATTCTGCAAATATTGAGCGCATGTTTGATTGTTGCTCTGCTAGTCGGGCAGTGCAGCTGGTAGGGGAGGGATTATGGATGGCGACCTGAAGTATAATCCACGTTAATATTCTTCTATAGAAAGTAACTTGTTAGCCTTTTACTTTTTTAAGGTGTTGCAAAAAGCAGTGATTGAAAGTTTGCTGATGAGACCTTGCGTGTTTCTGTAACAGTGCTCACTTTTCCAGGCTTTAGTGCTTTGAAGGCACATACCTGCCAGGGAGCTTTTTAAGGTGGAAACTGAAGTAATTCACTGACGTGCATGTCACCGTCTTGTCCAACACACGTGAAATCAGGATTCACACTGGTTCACGACATCCACATGACAAATTTCTTCCAATCTTACCATGAATGTTGAATGTAACATAAGCAAACTAGTTCTTCTGTAATGGAAGGATGAAAGTTTTGTCCTAACCATCCACAATGAACCTGTTTTACAGAACTACAAAAGAGTTTGAGATGATGCGAGGGATGAAAATGAAACTAAATCCTCAGAATTCCGTAAGTGACCTTGTTGGAATGTTTTCATTGTAACAGAAGCAGCCTGTCAGCTGAGGTCTGTCTGGCGACCCTAGAACTGACTTGCTGAAGGTGCGTTCAGCCTTGTTCCGGGTCCTTGAATTTGGGGAACACAGTACGGAAGTGCTTGATCACATGTCTGGGCCTGACGTTCCAGGAAGACCGGGGTTCCTGTTGGTCAGCCGACATGACACACCGCCCCGGCATGAGGCGTGTGGGGGTCTGCGTGTGCGGGGCTGCCTCCGTCCTGCGGCAGCCGGCGTCTCTGGAGCAGCTGTCGGGGCTCCGTGCAGGGTGCCGGCCGGTGGCGGCCCCGCGTCACTGCTGCCCTTGCTCAGCTACGTAGATCAGAGTGTGCCCCTCCCCCCGGAAGCCCTGGAGTGTGGTTTTTTGTCTTCAGGTCAAATGATGACATGATCTTACAGTCAGACCACGTGTCCCTGTGGCCAGAGGGCGCCCTGAAGAGGGACGGGATCCCAGGTGTTAGGACCCTGGTCCTTATTTGGCTCGAGGTGCTTGGGGTCACTGGGTCCTGCGCCGTCCTTCTGGGGTGGGCCTGGGGGGATTCTTGGGTGGGAGCTTCCTGTCACGGCCAGCCTTAGAGACTTAGCAACTGCTCGGTAGCCTCCCAGGTACAACCACCCCGAGGCAGATTCGTGCTGCCAGATTCACCAGTTGCTACAGTAGCGTGTCGGTTGTTGCTTTGCAGTGGGAGCTGCGTCTAGCACAGGAGCCAGGCTCGGTCCTCTGCACGCTTCAGCCGGGTAGGTGGGTCCACTTAGAAACTGGATCATAGAGCAGAATTGAGTTTGGTGAGGGTGGAAGCAGGAAAAGTGTGTTGCCAGAAGCTAATTCGTCAGAAGCTGATATGACCGGAAGCTGTCCTCCCCCGACACTTGTGTTTGGGCACTGATTGTGGCTGTTCTGCAGATGTTAGGGGTGCCCAGTCTTCTCATGAAGCCCTGTTTTGGTGAAGGGGCCGCCGTTCACCCTGCTGTCCTAGCCAGACCTGGGACCAGCAGTTCGCAAGTGTGTCCCCCGGGCAGGAGAGCAGCAGCGCCTGGGACTTGTCAGGAGGGTGAACGTGCGAGCCCCACGCGGGCCCCCCTGTGTCATGAGCCCCACCGACTGTGCTTCAAGGAGTCCTGCGGGTGTTTCACTCCCGGCCTGCTCTGCCCCCTCACCATAGCTCTGGGTTGGGTCTTTGTCCCTTCTCGCCTGGATGTGGCTGCACCTGGTGAACTGGCCTCCTGGCCCGTGGTTGTGGCCATGGATTCAGGCACCACGGCTGCGTGCCCAGCCCCGTGTTAGACGTGGACCAGGCCCCCAGCACACAGGGCTTGTCCTGAAGCGCAGATCTGATCTTACTCTGTGGAATTTTCACACGCTCCCTGTAATTCTCACAGCACCTTTGAGTCTTAGCTTTCCCACCCGCACGTCCTCCTCCAGCCTCATCCTCTGCCGCCCGGGAGCAGGTGGGTGTCTTCCCTGCCGACGCGGCGTGGTGCTCGTGTGCTCTCGTCGCTTGCCTTGTGCTTTGCTTTCCCTGCTTTTGTTTTTAACTGTACCGGCTACTTCTGGGCCAGCAGGCGCTGTGCACCTGGGCCATGGGCTCCCGGTCTTCCAGCCTCAGCACCGGCTTTGTCTCCTGCAGGCACTTCCTGCTCTCCCCCCAAGATGTAAGCCTTCTTTTGGGCTCTGTCACAAGGCAGAGTGTCCTAGATGTGACGCATGGCTCTCCAGTCGACTGTACCCTCGTCAGCTCCTGGGGCTGGGTCATGTCCTGTCCCTGCTTCATCAGAGCCCACACCGTGTCGGGCCGTAGCAGAGAGTAGGCGGTCACGTGTGTGCCGGGAAGTGAGCACGCAGGGGTGTGGTCCGGGGGCCGGGCCTGCTCTCCGGGCGCTCAGGGGGAGAAAGTAAACCTCCACATCTCCCGTGGGTCACGTTCTGTGAGGAAAGCATGGTCCCAGCGTGCGAGGAAGAGCGCCTTGTCACTGGAGGGGATAATGCTTCAGCTGAGATTTTCAAGGGCAGCGACAGTAAGCTGTTCTCAGCGCCGGGCGTTCTGTTCGGCAGTGCAGATGCGTTAGGCAGCCCTGTCTGGGAGATGCTTTTGATTCATTCGCCAAGTAAGTCTTGAGGGTGGTCTGTGTACTGGGCAGATTCCTGGGTGCCTGGAAGTAGTAGGAAAAATGCCAACAAACCCCTGCCCTCATGAAGCTTACGTTCTAGGGGAAGAAAACAGATCGTAAACACGGGAGGAAAATCACTGTGTGCGGGTCCTGTGAGGGTGGGGCTGTGGGTGAGACGCTGCAGGGAGAAGTGGACAAAGGCTGCTGTTTTCTGTGGCCTGGGCAGTGAAGACCTCTCCAGGAAGGTGGCCCTTGAGCAGACGTGGAAAAAGGAGGGAGCTCGCCAGGCAACGGCTCGGGAAGAGCCCTCGAGGCAGGGAGAAGGGCCTGGGTGTGATGGAGGAGTGGGCCGGGGGCTCCCGGGTGGCAGTGGGGAGGAGGGAAACGGGGAAGCGTTGGAGCCGAAACAGCATGTCCCCATCATACAGCTGAGGGACTGGAAGCCTGGTCCCAGGCTGTCTGCCTCACCTGCACTCTGTCACCTGGACAGCCTGCAGGGGGTGAGCCCTGCAGGTGTTCAGGCATCTTCCCTGTCACTGTCTGTCCCAGGTGTCGAAAATGAGTGTTACGAGACTTTATGACATATTTTCTTTGCCAAGATTAGAGTTAATTCTGCCTTCGTTACATGCTAAATTGTTGCTTGTACTTGGGGATCCACCTTAAGCTTCCTGCTTAGATTTAGAAAGAGCCCTAATCTTCCCTTGGTTCCCTGACCTTCCCTGCAGCACGTCTGACGGGCTGATGCGTGGCTTGCGTTTTGGGAGAAACTTCAGCATGGCCGATGTGGTCTGTTAGCGCGGACTTGCACTGGCTTACATTCAGGCTGGCGCTTGCCCACCTTCCCCAGGTTCTGTGACTGCCTTGTTGATACTTCTCCACTCACTGATCACAGGGAAGTCGGAAGAAAGGCACCTGTTTCCTGCCACGTCCTGAGTTTTTATAGAACTTTTTGATACAGTAACAGGTCGCGCTTTTTGTAAGCCGGCTGGATGACTGAGAAGACCTGTAAACTAGGCGGCAGCTTTCCTAACGCTGACTCTCTCCGTTGCAGGAGTTAATGCCGTGGGACCCCCCCTACTACAGTGGTGTGATCCGCGCAGAGAGGTACGTTTCTGAGAGCTGCTCGCCTGTGAGGAGGAGGAAACGAGTGTGTCTTGAGCACCTCTCTCCTCATTCGGGCGCCCACGTCACAAGCCCGTGTCCCCTGCTCAGGCCCTGTGCGGGCGTGGCCGGCACCTGCCCGCAGGTCACTTGGTCCGGGCAGGAGGCTGTGCTCACGGGCCGGGTCAGCCTTGTTCTGGGGGTCCTGTCCTTTTGTGGTTTGGGCTCATGTCTCCCTGAGATCTTGGACCCCGCCCCTTCCTGTGTGTGGCGTCCAGGTCCTCCTCATCTGAGCATGTGGGGCTGGGACTTGGCTGGAACCGGTGGTGACCAGTTTCTGGCCCGAGGGGCTGGGGGGCTCTCAGCGCACGTTTGCCGAACCACTGCAGGAGCCGAGGCGGACTCGGCGTGGCGCACGTCGCTGGTGCTTCTGGAAGGAGACTCGTGAGATGAGGGTCCAGAGGACTTGGTTTCGCAGTCCCCCTCCGGCTTTTGTCTGGCTCGTCAGGTTGTGCAGGCGAGGAGCTGCGCTGCTCTCCCTGCGTTCACCCTGTTTCTGTCCTTTCCGCATTTGTGTGTGAGCCCACAGAACGTGCAGGCCTGTTCAGAGTGGCACGTTTAAAACTGTTTATGTCCCGGACAACTTTATGTGCGCAACTGGACTGTTTTAAAATCTCAGAATCTTTCCCTTGACTAACTCAGCACCACTGTCTCCTGACGGTTCATGTTTTAGCTGTGCAGGGTGAGAAGGGCAGGATTAACTCAGGTAAAGGAGGAAGAAAGCTCTGTGCTGCTTTCTTTACTGAAGCACGTTGGCGCGCGTCACGATGAAGCGTTTCCTCGATTGGTGTTAAACTGCGAAGTGCTTTTGTTCTGTGCCTTCTACCCGGGCATCAGGTAGGTGGTGGGAGGCACCTCACTAAAATTAGATTTCATTTGTTTTAATGGTTTCTTTGGGTTTTTTGTTTGTGTGTTTGTTTTTGTTTTGGGGAAGAAGTGGTTAGGTTTATTTATTTATTCAATTTTTAGTTGTCACCACAAAATTTCCAGTAGGGCGTCATTGTCCCCATATTTATTTATTTATTTTAACAGAGGTGCTGGGGACAGACCTGGACCTCGGGCGGGCTGGGCGCGTGCTTTGCCCCTGCGCTCCCCTCCCTCCCTGCTGGCGGCCTCAGTACTAAGTTAGCAGGAGGGCATGGAGCTGGCTGACTGTAGCCCTTCTAGAGAGCGGCCCCTCCAGGCGCTGCTTTGGAAGTGCCGTCTCAGGGCTTTGAAGGAGGTTCAGTGCTGCCTGGGAAGACACTCATCTGAAGGGCAGTGACTGTATTGCATCCGTAGCAGAGTGCTCTCAGAGAGCTTTGGGCGAGGAGACAGTGCTGGGCTGGGGCCCTGTCTGTGCTTCCCCGCGGCGTGGCCATGTCCAGGCCAGGGGGACCTGCACGTGGCTGGTAGGCCAGCTCGCATGCGGTGCCTTTGGCCTCCAGGTCACGGGATCACTCCTGCCTTGAGATGAAGCATGAGGTCCTGGGTTCAATCCCTAGTGTACCTCCACTGAAATAAATAATAGATGAACCTAAGTACCTCTCCCCTGCCTGCACACACGTGCGCGCACACCCACCCACACACCAAAATGCCCTTTGCTGAGAGGTTTCCAGCAATCCAAATGGTCTTTAGAGTAGGAAGTCACCACTGTCCCAGGAACACAGTGTCGCCCACCTGACATCCACAGGGCCTTTAGTTCATTTATTTGGCTGTTGACTCAGTAAAAAAAAAAAAAACCAGGAAAAGGGATGCAGAAGTGCTTCAAGTGGGATTGTAAGAATCAGGGGTTTGAAACATCTACTTTAAGTAGCTAAAAAGGCAAATTGATGGAATTTGGGGCTGAGGTTTCAATAATCTTGATCGACAAGAGTGGGCTGAGAGGCGCAGGTAATGGATGAGAAAGCAGAGGGAAAATGTGGTAGTTTGAGGGGGAGATTAGGATGCAGCCACGTGACGGCTTCTGAATCCGCGCTGGCCTCCTCTACTTGCAAGTGAAGACGCGAGTGTGTGGTTTGACACAAAACACGGAGTTTGAGGGCCTGCCCTTGACGTGAGCTTTTCTTCAGGCCACCCAGGGGCTGTCTTTGCTTTTATGTGAAATACTTCAGATTTAGTTCCAGCTTCTCAGATATTCAGCTGAGGAGAAGGAAGAACCTGGTGCAAGTAAGGTAAGAGGTTAATGTGCAGAAACTGAGGTCGTCCTGGGAAGCGGGGCGCGGCGACGATGGGGAGCCTCGGAGCAAACGTGCCTTCGTTCTTTTTCCTTTTCAAGTCTCACGTTCTTCAGGGAAGGGTAGAGGTAATTCTTTACGTTATGAAAAGCATATATGCAGTTACTCTATTTTTCAGTGGTTAATGCAGTCACATGGTTGGAAAAAAATCAAAACCGCATTTAAAGTGTTTGAGTCTCTGAATGGGGCTCTCAGCCTCCCTCCCGCCCCTCCCCCGGGGTGGTCACTCTGAAGCTGTTTGATGTGTCCCTCGATGGTTGGCTTTATTTTTATGCTCGAGGACTTGATTCCTTTCCGCCAGTAGTGAGTTTCAGTGAGTCTTGTTTCCTCGGAGCTGTTTACAGGAAGGTGTCTTGGGGGCGTGGGCTCCGCAGTGTCTCTTCCTCACTTGGGGCGTTCTCAAAAGGTCAGGGCCACTCGATAATGAAGTTGGAGTGTCTGTGTTTTAAACGCTTCGTAAAACCTTGGACTCCCACAGAGGGATGGTGGTGTTTCAAGATAGCGCTGCGGTTTAATGTGTGAGGTTGTGCAGCTTCTTGGTCAGTGTGTGTGTGTGAGCTTGTTGCTTGAGGTTTCTAAGAATTAACTTTTAAAACGAAAACTCCCAAAATAAGCAGAAACAGGGAGACTAGCGTAAGCCCCACGTACTCCGCTCCCAGATTCAGTGGTTGCACGTTTGCCATGATTGCCTCATTTGTCTCTTCTCCTTTTTGTCTCCCTCCTCGTCACTGCAGTGCTTTAAAGTGAACCCTAGACCCTTGTCATCTCGGTTCTGCGTGCTCTTTAAGTGCCTCCAGTCCCTTGTTACCTAGTAAAGTTCACCGTGGTTCGCTGGCATCCTCTCATACCAGACTCGACCCATCGCTCCCCGTGGTCTCAGACTTGTCTGGTCCCGGTTAGCCTGTTGGGACCAGGAGCGCCAGGTTCCTGGCCCTCGCGCCTCCTGCTCCAGGGCAGCTCGGTTGCCTCAGGTGGAACATCCTGGCTCGGCCTGTCTCACAGAGCGACATAAGGATGCAGGAGGTTCTTGAAGTGACAGTGCTTTGCAAACGTAAGGCAGTGTCCGCTCACCCTGTCACAGGTGTCGCTTCGTCAGCTTTTCTGACTTTATTGTGTGTCATCCGTCTCCTCCTTTCTTACCTCCTCCCCTCTGCCTGCAGAGGTGCTGGGCGTGCCTTGTCTTGGAACACAGGTGAGCAGCCCCCCCGTGACCCTGGGGGAGCGGCACCCTCGGTGTTCCTGCCGAACCTGCCCCAGCGGTCTGGCCTGCACGCGGCTCCGTGGCCTCCGGAGCTGGCATGCGTTCGGCCCTGACGGTCGGTCAGACCGCTCTCCCCAGGTTCCTGGCCACCTGCTGGTCACACTCGGTCACGTGCTTTGGTCCTCAGTACCCCTCACATCGGGGTGTCCGTCTTGGCAACTCCTGCGCCCCGGGCGCATCACCCCCCTCTCCTTGCAGGTCTTGCCTCGACATCGCGTTTCCCATATCCGACCGCCCTGGTGCGGCGCCGGCGGCGGGCACCCCTCCTGTGAGCTCCTCGCCTCACCTTTTACTTCTTGTTTCTATGACTCTCCCTACTCTGAGTACCTCATTTAAGTGGGATCAAACTGTGTTTCTTTCTGAGACTGACTGACTTCACAGAGCATAACGTCCTCAGGGCTCATCCGTGCGGTAGCAGGTGTCAGGATTTCTTTCCTCTTTAAGGCTGAAATGATACCCATAGTGTATATGTACGCACCACATTTTACTTACCCAGTCCGAGGCAGATTTACGGACACTTGGGTTACGTTCATGTTTTAGCTGTCGCAACGCTGTGAATATGGGCATATAGATAATTCTTTGAGACCCTGCTTTCAGTTCTGGGTATGTGCCCGGAAATGGACTTGCTGAGCTATGTGGTAATTCTGTTGAACTAGGTTAACTTTGAGGTATATGTGTATATATAAATATAGACTGTAACACATTTTATGGAGTAGAGTTTTACCGTCAGCTCCAGCAGGTCAGATTTTGTGTGTAACTGTGTGTGTGGTGTGGTGTTGAGAGTGACCGAGCTGGAAGGGATGGAGATGTGGGATGGATTTGGGATAACGGAGTTGGGACAGGTGCATAGACATGTACCTTGTGTTTTCAGTCCTTTCTGGCTCCTAAATTTTAAGTGAGAAGGGGACAGAATCCACGTAGGAAGCTGAAGTAAACAGAACGTGGTCTCCGTCTCTTCCTGCCCAGGTACAACATCGAGCCGAGTTTGTACTGCCCATTTTTCTCCCTCGGAGCGTGCATGGACGGCCTGAGTGTCCTGTTTCACAGGCTGCTGGGGATTTCGCTCCAGGCGGAGCAGCCAGTGAGGGGAGAGGTGTGGTGCGAGGATGTCCGCAAGCTGGTAAGCATCCCAGGGGCGCCGCATCCTGGGCGCGGTCCCCGGTCCCCAGTCCCCAGCAGCTCCGCGCAGGTTTGTTGTGCCCCAGTGGAGCGTCCCCTCACTGCTGCCTGATGAGAAGTCCGGATCGCTCCGTCTGATTAGGACCCTGCGACATAAACACTCTCCTCCAACATCAGTCAGTGCCTGAAGTGACTGTAAGCATTTAACAGCAGGGCTCGTTCTCTGAGGAAAACTGTTTTAGAAACCTGATCCGAGGCCGAGGCTTGGACTGTCGACAGACTCTGGTTCAGGAGACCTTGGTCGTTGCTGGCCATGCTACTGCCGCGCACGGGTCCCTGCTGGTTATCCCAGGGTCCCTGGGCCCCCTTTCCTCTCCTCCCAGCCCCTTCCCGCCTGTCGGAGCCCATGCTTGTATCGGATGCTAGTTGGTGCCCGGTGCTCTGGTGTGACTTCCTGACGGTGACCCCAGCCTGGAGCCCCCCCCCAAGTCAGGGCGCCCTTCATTTGAGGTGCAGGGTTTTTAGCTTTTCCCAAGGCGGCTTTGAGGATCTGAGGATCCGCAGGCTGTAGCTCTCTGTTCCCCTTGCCCTGTGCGGAGCACACTGTGCCGCTTCTCTGTACTTGAAGGAGCGGGGATGGCTCGTGTCCCCTGGCTGTTCTGCGGCTGTAGAGTGGGCGGAGGTGGCGTTGGAAGGACAGATGGAAGTGCGTTCATCTCGCCTGTGGGCTGTCCTCACAAGCTGTGGAGAGGGACTGAATGCAGAGGTGGTCTGCAAAGGGAAGCTGGTGACAGGCGGGGGCAGGGACAAGATGCGAGTGATGAAGACGTCCTCCAGCTCAGGGGGCCCCTCGGTCACCATTTGCTGATTTTGTTCACTGCCATCTCCTGCGTGCCGGGAACAGTTCCTGACACCACGGCGATGCCTCATGGATGTTTGTGGGGTTAATGAACACACACGCGCAGGGAGTTCTCAGTTCTCCGCAAGTTGTGCAGAGTTGGAGACCAGCCCTCCTGCGAGCCGCGCCTCTCTCGTCGGCTGGGTGGTGGGGTGGGTGTGAATGGTGCTGTCACTGAGTTTAGCAGGGCAGATGCTGCGCATTGTGGTTCTGCCTTCCAGGGTTGTGGCTAGTATGCCCGTGTGTCTTGACGTTCTGAGATCGAACGAATTTGGCTGCTAATCAGCCAGCCAGCACCCAGCCCCGGTCCCCGGGCGCTGCGTGCCAGGCTGAGCTGCATTGTCGCGGGCTGGCCGTCAGGATGGAGGGCTTGACGGCAGGGTCTCCTCTCCGGACAGAATCCGTCAGAGGCACCGAGAGATGGAGCGAGGTGGGCGGACGTCGGGGTGGACGCCACCCCGAGGTGATGTGGGCGTAGGAAGTGGTGAGATGTCTGCACTCGGGGCTGTGGGCGTCTTAGATGCAGACTCTCGTGTGAGGAGTGCATTGTACTCTTCCAGTTCTGATGGCCTCATTCACCACTAAATTAAATTGTCTCTTCCAGGCCGTGGTTCACGAATCTGAAGGACTGTTGGGGTACATCTACTGTGACTTTTTCCAGCGAGCAGACAAGCCCCACCAGGTGATGCTTCATTTACACGCTAGTCTTTCTAGAATGGTCGGTTCATTTGTGCGGACTTTACATCTCATTGTTGTAGTGCCTGGTATGTAAAAGGTTGCTGAATAGATAAACTTGAAACGAGGGTGTAGAATCTGAAGATGATGAAAGTTGTGAAAGTAACTACGTGAATCTGTGTCTGGGTTGTGGTGACCGTGACAGTGACAGCAACTGACACTTCCCAGCCCTCCGTGTGCCCGCCGGTGCTCTAAGCCCTTCCCACACCACACCTTCCGGTGCTCACCTCGCCCCTCTGAGCTGGGTGCTACTGTTACCGGAAAACCGAAGCCAGAGAAGGGATGTTACTTGCTTGGAGTCACACAGTTAGGAGTCCCAAGATTTGAACCCACATGTTCTGACCAGAGCTCCAGCTCTCGGCCGCCATCCATCCTTGACAGTGGACCTGGCTCAGAACTGCAGACTCAGCCTCTGGGCGGTTCACTCCTTGGGTGGCATACGTGAGGTTCATGTTCTCGAGCTTCAGCACTTCCAGGCAGTTTGATTAGAATGGTCAAGAATTCAGGTTGTCAGGTACAGTAGAAATAAGGGTACCTTATATTTAAATAGTGATTCCCAACTTCCGAAGCAGTTTTAACAGACGTAGGCTTACGAATCTGGGCAATGGCTCTAGTATTTGACAAAGTGGAGGCGAGGCTGGCAAGGGGACCAGACTCCAGGACAGCGTGGCCAGTGTGGGCGGAAGGCGGGGCCAGAGCCTGGGTCACCGCTGCTGAGTCCCATGTGCCTTCTCCTTGCTGGAGGCCCAGCTCCACAGGCCTCGGCCCGAGTCCCCGTTTGGGAGGCGGTGGCCGAGCCCTGCATCTTTGGACACAGGACCCGGTATTTCCAAGACGCAGCTGGTTTTCTTGTCTGAAAGACGAAACAGCTGCCTCCCAGGTTTCTGTGGAGAGTAAGTGGTGAGTGCGTGCGCGCCGGGAAGGCTCCTCCCAGGGCCTTGCTCTGTGGCAGTTTGGAGCTCGTCCTGTCCAAGTGACAAAGCCCATGGGTGCGGAAGGTGTCGTCCTGACACGGGAGGGGCCCGGTAAGCACGAGTGTCCCGTCCCCCTTGCTGTGAGCGTCTCCAGCATCTGCTGTGGCCTCAGCTCAGTGCATGGCTTTGGAGTAACTGAACTCATCAGCACAGCCTCAGAGAATGACTGGTGTTTTAAGAAGATGAACATTTTAGCAAAATAAAAAGTGCTGGGGGAAAGTGTCCCTAACTAAGTGAGCAGAAGAATGGAGTTCAGGTGAAACGTGTGCAAGGCTCTTCTGCCTCCAGGGCGCCCGGCCCTTGGCTCACCCGCCCGCTCCCCGGCCCCGCAGGACTGCCACTTCACCGTCCGCGGCGGCAGGCTGAAGGCCGACGGGGACTACCAGCTCCCGGTCGTCGTGCTCATGCTGAACCTCCCCTGCCCCTCGAGGAACTTGCCAACGCTGCTCACCCCGGGGATGATGGAGAATCTTTTCCATGAGATGGGCCACGCCATGCACTCCATGCTGGGCCGGACACGTTACCAGCACGTCACTGGTGAGCCGGGGAGAGGGGGCTTTCGCTGCACAGTTGCTTGAAAACATACATTTCTTTCTAAATCGGAAAAAAGCCTTTTATCTGCGTGTCTGCAGTCGTGGGTGGCAGATGGTCTGCCTTGTCCTCTCAGCTGTGAGGCTGACCCAGCCCTCCTGCGTTTTTCCCGCCATTGATAGCAGTTCTCACCCAGGAAGGTCTCCGCTCCCGGTCTTTGAGTTTGTGCCACTTCCCGTTGTGTTGTGTTTTACGTGGACTTCAAGTCGGTGGCCGTGCGTGTGAGTCAGCGCATCTCCCCAGCAGAGTCAGCGAGTGAGGAAGTGAGCGGATGCTGCCTCTGTCCAGAGTCAGCCAGGAGACGTGAGGGCGTGCTGAGGGGCTGAGGGGCGCTCCGTGCTGTGTCCTCACCCCCCACCCCCCGCAGAAAGCCGGGGTGTCTCAGGCTGACGTGTGGCTGTGCGGGTGACATCAAAGACGTCCCTCCTCGCTGTCACCTCCGAGTCTTAAGCTTCTTATCACACAGGTCAGCTTGAGACCACCCAGGAGAGTGCTGACTCCGTGTTTATTAACTAACTTCACACACACACACTTTTAGGGGAGGAGAAGATACTTGAAAAGACTGTAGATGGGCCGGACAGAATCATAGTGTCAACAAAAGGTTCTTACAGGATTTGTTGCTTTAAATAATTTTGAGTTTAAAATGTTGCTTTGTGTGCTGAGGACTGACCTTGTTACCAGAAGGAATTAATAGATCGAATAATATACTTTGAAAACAAATGAAAAAGAACAGCATTTGGCGAGGGAATTCCGTGAGTTAAATTCAGATGCTCTGCTGACTGTAAGAATGTTGTGACTGTGCTTCACGTATAGCCCGGCAGCGCCGAAGACAGGTTTGTTTGTAGAGCGTGTGAGCCATTGCTTTACAAGGTGTTTTATTCGGCTGTGCAAATACTTTGTTTTACTTCTAATACATGGGAAAATGTATGAGATTATTTTAAATTTTTCTGCAAATATGTGCAATAATTTTATAGAAGTAAAATATTGATTTAATAAATTAAAAGATTATCATAGTTCATCAGAAGTACAAATAAAAATTAAAAGAGTTCATAAAAAATAAAATAAATACGTTGATGTAATGCATGCCAATTTGTTTCTCCTTCCCCATCTTAGGGACCAGGTGCCCCACGGACTTTGCTGAGGTTCCTTCTATTCTGATGGAGTACTTTGCGAACGACTACCGAGTGGTTCACCAGTTTGCCCGACACTATCAGACGGGGCAGGTAGGGGGCTGACTTCACGCACCGTCCCCTGAGGTGTGGGTGGCCCCTGTGACTCGCCGGGGACGCTGAACTCGGCCTGCCTTCCGCACTTTCTTGGTACAGAATCCTCCTCCTGGTGGCCTGCCGCCCGCTTGCTTTGGGCATGGCTCCCATCGAGGGTGGACAGCAGACAGCTGCCCTTTAACGTGGGCTGGGCGGTTCCGGGCGTGGTCCGCACGGGAGCGGGCGGGCCCTACAGCAGGTTCCCTGTGCGCCCCGTCCCCGTGTCCCCTGCCTGGGAAGCGCGTTCCCTTCCTTCTCTCAGAATTTGATTATGGAGCATCACATCAGGTCGTGCTTCCCCGGGGACAGCACCTTCCTTAGTGTCGTGTGCCGTTACTACATTCATCCTGGGGCTCAGCTTTTAGAAAGGACACTGAAAGGGATTAAAGGAAAGGATGGATGGAGTCAGAAAAATAAGAGCCCAAATCACATTTATTTGTGACTTTCTGACTGTATCTCCAGATGCATGATGTGAATTGACCGTTTCTATTTTTTGGACTTGACTTTTATCTAATTGTTATTGTCAGCTGTAGAGTGATCGGTGGGTTTCTGGATAACTAATCTGAATTAGTCTCCATCATAATCTACTTCAGTGATTAAGATGACAGAGCTGAGACACATGTGGTCCAGTCATCTGTCTGTTCATCGACCCGCCAGGAGCTGCTCTGGGAATTACGTGAATTATGGAGACTCGGCCCATGGCGGGTCTTGGGCTGACCCTCGCCGCCTTGGTACCTGCTCAGAACAGTCAGAGCAGAGACGCGCCGGAAGCACTGCTCGGGGGTGACGTGAAGTTCCCCAAGAGGACGATCCCGTGTTACTACCGACGCTTTTCAGTAAGAAGAGTGATCTTTGAGCAAGGTGGCTTCAAGGAAAGATACTGCCCAAAGCCATACTTCACAGGAAAGGAGATGAGAAGCAGGAAGGAATTAGCGTGCTGCCGTGAATTAATTCAGGTCTCAGGCTCCGAAGGCACGTCCGCGGGGCTGAGGGGATTGCAGACAGCCTCCAGAGAGTGAAATAACCCTGTGCCTCCGCAGAGCTTGGAGAGCGCCGGAGGCACGAGAGGAGATGCCTTGCGCGTCCCAGAGGGCCTGCCTCCTCTTGTCGCCAGTTAAGCACCAAGTGGCTTGATGTTTTCATTTTGAGGGCAGCCTAGCCTAAGGACAGGAGTTAATTCCCTAGAATCTGAGTCTGTAAGTAAATAACACGTAAGCCCGAGAGAGGAGCAGCAGGACGGCCCGCTGCACGTCAGGAAAGGAACTTTTCTCCATCTCGTGGCGCATTCCAGCGAGTTCTCAGAGTAAGGATAGCATCGCGGTGGCATTAACACGAAAGCATCTCGTCTGAGCTGGAGCGCGCTGGCCAGGGGCTGCTCGTGGCGAAGGCGCCAGAGGTCACAGGTGCGCCCGTCAGAGTCCAGGTGCACGGCTGTCACTGGCGCCAGAGGTGCTCACTTGAGATTCAGAAGCGTCTTGACTACAACATCAAAGCTGTAGATTTATCTTCCAATCAACAGCGCAAGCATAGGGAAGCACAGACTTGGTGGCAGCTCGTGTGAAAAAACCCAGGTCTTAGGCGTAATGAACTTGACGTGAATCGGCCGTCTGCGGGAGCCCCTGGCCTCACGCCGCCCCAGGCTGCGTCCCGGGGCCTGTGGTGTCTGAGCGACGGGGCCACAGTCGGTCTTCTCGTGCGTGTGGTTCTGGCCTTCAGACCAGCCCCTGCCCAGCTGCTCCCAGTGAGCACGAGGCTTCTGTCAGTGGCCCCAGCAGGCTCACTTCTGGAAGCGTGGACTTTGTTGTCCTTTAAATGTTGTAATAGGCAGCTCCTTTCAGTCTTGGTAAAGCACAGCTAGCCTGAAACAGACCAACCTAACCATGTTTCAGAGATGGTTTCCAGTTACAGTCCCTGTGTTCAGTGACACCCATCACCACCCTCCACCCCCAGAACGCTTTTCACCCTGCAGAACTGAAACTGTCCCCGTGGAACACTGCGCCCCTCCTCTCCCCCCTCCTCTGTCCCGGCGGATCTGACGGCTCTGGGGACCTCGTGTCAGTGGAATCGTGAGTGACTGGCTTGCTCCACCCGGCACGGTGTTTCTAAGGTCCATCCACGCTGCAGCGCGGGTCAGAGTCTCTCTCGTCTGGGTTGTGGAGGCGGGAGCTGCCGCCCCGGCGGACGAGAAGCGCATGTGGCCGTGGTTCCGATCCGCGCCGTGCGGTGACCGGTGACACCGACGCCCTGCTTGTTGCGTGTCCGTGTTATCTTTGGAGAAATGTCGGTGAATTTCAGTGCAGCCCCGTCCACCTGCTTTTTCCTCTGTTGGCTTTGGCTTTTGGTTTCACATCTAAGTCATCACTAAATCCAACGTTGTAAAGCTTTTCTCCTAAGTTTTTTCCTGAGAGTTTTATAGTTTTCTGTCTTATGTTTAGATCTTTGAATCATGCTGGGTTAATTTTAGTAGATGGTGCAGCTCTTTTTCATACTTTAACAAACCTGAGACCGGGATCTTGTCAGTGCTCTGCTGGCCTTAGTGTAAGACGCCTGCTGACAGAGAAAATCACTGGAGCTTTTTTTTTTTTTTAACAATTGAGGTTTTGGCTTCAAGGAAATAAGATGGTCTTGGCCCCTGCTCCGAAGGTGAGCGTGCCGAGCACCCCGATACGCGGGCTGAAGCCGGTCCCTGAGCCCCGTCCTGCGTGTACTGTGGGGAGATGTCCCGGACGCTTGGATTACGTGCAGCCCTGGACCTTCCCCCTCTTTCTCTCTTACCTGTAAGACCCTGATTCCTGTGGGGGCGGGAGCTTTTTGTCCCTGCCCTGGATTACTGATCTTGTCACAGGCCTCAGGTCAGTGTCTGAAAATGAAGGCATCTCATCCTCCCTGGCATTTCTGCAGGTCTGCCCCATCTCCCGCGGGTGGAATTACCCCAGGGCGTGGTAACTGACGAATCCTGGAGGGACGTGTGCCCGGTGGCCACGCGCGTGCGGTCGCCTGCTCGCGGGGCCCCTCACTCTGTCCTGCGGGTGTCTGTCTGTCCTGATGCCAGGGCCCAGCCGCCTTCCTTGCTGCCACCTTGTTCTGGGTCTTGGCATCTGATGGGGCTCGTCTGGATTGGCTCTTGGGAAATTTCTTCTCACCTCCTGGGCCTTTGTCTTCTTTCCTGTGCACCTTAGAGAATCAGCTTTTCTCTTTTCTTGAAAACCTGTGATAAGAGTTTGGTGGGGATTTCGTTAAATCTGTAGGTCAGTCTGGGGAGAGAGAACCGACATCTCTGAACGTGGAGTCTTCCAACCACGAGGACGACACGTCTCTCCGCTCGTGAGGTCTTCCAGGAAGTCTTAAAATCTCCTCCTAGAGGGTCCTGCTTGACTTGTATGAGCTTCAGTACTGGGTGCCCTCCCTTTCTGATAGTTTTATAAATGTATGTTTTTAAAAAATTACGTTTTCTTCTTGTTTGTGCTGGTGTTTAAATGTGCAGTTAATCCTTTTTTTGGATATTAATATCTTATTTTTAGCAACCTTGGCGGACTTTTGTTACTAATTCTAACAACCTGCTTACAGGTTGCTTCTGCTGCAGATAATGCCGGGTTTTCCTTTCCCACTCACAGGTCTTTTATTCATCCCGTCCTCCCGGGCACTTCCAAGAACCGGCAGCACAGTGCTGGTGTCGAACGGAAGCTGGAACGTGGTTGTTACTTGCCTTTATCCTGATTCTTAAAGGAAACGTCTCTAACGGTTCAGGCTGCAGAGAGGTGTCTGCGGTGCAGGTCTGGCGAAGGTGTCAGGAAGAGGCAGTTCCTTCCTGCTCTAGTTTGCTAAGTTGTTTTTTATTTTTTGATCATTGAGCTCCTGCGTCTTCTCAGACCGCGTCTTCACCTCTGGAGGCGGCTGGGTGGCTGTCACTTCCCTCCAGCAGAGCTGTGAATGCTGCCTCTGACGTCGGGCACCTCGGGTTCCGCCATGAAGGACTTGGGTCTTAACTCTCTGGTATCTGGTTCATACGGCGCTGGCTTCAGTGACCACTGCGTGCTGGGGGTGGTTTTCACATCTGTGTTGATGAGAGACTCGCTTGGGTTCTCCGGGTCCTCTCGCTCCTGCTGGTGCTGGCAGTAAGTGTGTTCCGTTTCACGAGGTGGGTTGTGGGGAGCGCCTTCTGTCCCTTACGAGCACTTGTATGAGACTGTAGTTATCTGTCTCTTGAAAGTGTCAGAATTAACTTATGAAACCATCCTGGGTCCGTCATGTTCTCCGTGAGAAGAGTTTTAAAGGACTGGCTTCCTCAGTATCACGGGTCCCTGGCCTTCTTGTCTTCTGAGGTTTTGCTCACTTGTAGTTTTCTAGAGATTTATCCATTTAGTCCAGGTTTCAAGTTCACGGGCATAAAGCTGTCTGTGGCATTCTCTCCCCCTTCAAGGCCTGCCACGTCTGTGCTCGCGTCCTTTTCGCTCCTCCCTCTGGCGACCGTGGTGGAAGGCGAGTGTTGGGCTCGGTAGCACTGGCACAGGGCTGGTGCCAGCTCTGCTGTCCTCAGCGTTTTGTTTGTTTCAGGTCATTCATTTCTGTTTTCTGATTGTGCTCTTTCTCCTTTTGTGTTTTGTCCTCCCGCTTTTTTCTTTTCTTCCGATTCATTCTTTCTTTCATGGTGGTCCTGAGGGTTGAACCCAGGGCCTCGTGCATGCTACGCACACACTCTGCCGCTGAGCTGTACCCCCGCCCCCCGTTTCTAAGGTGGACGCTTAGAGCTAATTGAGTTCGTCTTCGCTGCCATACGGGCTTACGCGTCAGTGCTGCAGACCGCGCACGGTGTGAGCAGCGCTTTAACCGCAGGCCGCAGTTCTGTTGTGACACGTGTCTAACGTTCTGTCTCCGTCGTCACTTCCCCTCCGACCAGGGCGCTGCTCAGAGGCGCCGCGCAGCACTTCCAAGCCCCTGCGGAGGAGCTGTCTGTCGTCTGTCGCTGCTGTGTGGCCGTCTAGCTGTCTACGCCGAACCGCTGTGCGGTTCTCGGCCTAGCGTGTCAGCAGCTTCTGGAAGTGGCCTGGGGCTTGAGTTCATCGTGTGTTGCCTCATTGTTGGGCTTGGGGTTTCATGCACTTCTGTTAAGCCAGCCTTTTCATTAGATTAGGCCTTGGGTACATAACTAATTTTTGTGATCTAGCCAAAGTCGAGCTGTAAGGCTTCCACTAGGGTGATGGACATGATTCTTTCCCTTTACTTTTGTGTTTTTTTTTAAACTATTAACACTCTATTTAGAGCAGTTTTAGGTTCATAGCAAAACCGAGGGGGAATGTAGAGATGTCCACATACCCCTGCCCCTCCTCCATTAGCCACTACAAAATACGTATCAAACAGTAAGTAGCGGAAAGTAACATCTATTGTTCTGTGTTTTTCCTGATTTAATTGTCCAGCAATGTGTGAAGCTGGCACATAGTCACCCACCGTTGTAGAAACAGGCTCAGACAGGCTGAGCAGTTTGCTAGAGGTCACCGCAGTGACAGCGGGGTCGGTGGGTCCGTTAGTGTCACGTCAGAACTTCCAGGTCCCGTCAGAGTTGCGGACGTCAGTGTTACAGCATCGTGGGGGTTTTCTTTCTCCAGTTTTTCCTGGTTAAAAACCCCTCAGTATCGTAGGAAGTCGGCTTACACAGTACGTCTCACAAAAGAGCAGACCTGTTTCCACTGAAGGTGCTCTCGGGACAGCGGTGGCGCTCTCGTTTTGGAGCCGTTACGGTGCATCATTATGAGGTTCAGTTTGTGGCCTTTGTTTGTGACAGGCAGCCCGAGGCTAAAATTGCGTAAGATCTATTTCCAAGGAGACATACAGGCTCGTAATCAATCTTCTGTCATTTTCTCCAGGAGGGATGAGTAAGGATTGAAGGTAAAAATTACAGTGCAGCCGGCACGAGCTTCATTCTGGCAAGTTGACGTTGTTTTGAAACTTTTCCTATTTTCAGCTTTAATGCGTCTCAGTTGTGTCTAGACAGGACCGCTGCACTCGGGGCAGAGCCGGGTCCGCCCCGGCCACAGCACCAACGCAGGGGGCCTGCCTCAGTCACAGAGCTCGCCTGAGGCTTCCTGCTCTTCTATAGAAAATACAAATCAGGCACTTAGAAATTAAAAACCAGTAGCTCCACACGTCCGTCAAAATTTCTGGTCAGTCAAATTGAATAATACGTGCAAAGTACAAACAAGGTGTGACTGGAATTGTTTCAGCAAATGGAAGCTAGATCTCTGTCACACCTTGAAAGGTTCAAGGTTGAGCCCTGGGAAGCTTTCTGAAAGCCACGTGACTTCTGCGTCTGCACCGTGGCACGCCTGGGACACCCTGTCAGCTTTCCCGAAGGGTCTCATCTTGTATCATCTTAGCTTGTTGGAAAACCACTACAAGTCAAGGAAGTCAGGTGCGATATTACTTGCTGTGGGTTTAGAGCCGAGGTTCTGTCTCTGGGCCTGGGCAGCGTTTTCCTTGTGTCGATGATCTGCTGCCCAGATGACCGATCAGCGACCAGGCCGGTGGCCTGAGACTCGCCTAACCCAGCTGCTGGCCCGCTGGGGACATGTGCCGGGCAGGGCTCGGCTGCTCGGGTCCAGTGGTGAGGGGAAGCTGCTGACTTGGGGGCTGGGTGGCTCGGGGCTTTGTTGGCTTCCTGCCTCTGAAGCCTCATCTGGTTTGGATGACCACGTCTCAGCAAGCTGGTGTCTTTTGATCCACCACCTTCCCAGGGATTCCCAGGGGTGGGGGAACGGGCTGTACCAGAGGGTGCCTTGACTCTTCCACCGTAATGCACTTCCTCAGTGGTGTAAATAAACCAGATATTTTATCACAGTGACTTGGCTCCATCATATTGGAGGCCGAAACTCCTCGTGTAACAGTGTTTCCATCAGGCTGGCGAGGTGGCCGGGTGAGAGGCGTCTGGCACACGGATGACGTTTCCTGCTTTCAAGTTAAGCTTCCGGGGAAACGTTCAGAGAATTCCAGTGATGCCAACTTCACTAAAACACTTGCAATTTTGACGGGATTTCAAAAATCTAACCCAAAATGTGCTTTCTGAATAGAAGAAAATCTATTAATATTTTAATATTTCTGTTCCTGTGCACGGTCAGCCAGCCCCGCGGCTGTCTATCCCGAGAAGATAGCACACACGGCCTTCTTCCTTGCGAGGCTGGGCTCACAGGAGGGTTAGTTGTGCTGCGGGGCGCCGGGGGACCTGTGGTCCAGGCCAGGACTCCGTGGCAGGGGAGGAGGCCGTCGTCCCAGTCACACACCTGCCCGTGTGGACACAGCAGCAGTGGCATCTAGACACGTGCTCGAGCCGAGACTGACATTTCTTCAGATCGGCCCGTACTTTAGACAAGTTGACTGAACAGCTGTCACCTCACTGAATCTTCGTAGTGGTTTTTGGTAGCGGTGTTTTTATCCTTGTTTTACAAATGAGGAGGCGGGATACGAGAGGCTTGCCTGCGGTCAGGAAGCAAATGTGCAGCAACAGAAACCGCCAGTGGGCAGGGAGCGGCTTGAGAGGAGGTATTTCCAAGAAGCTTCCAGATCACACCATGTCAGCCGACCGCCCCGCGGAGTCTGGTTGGGGCTCCAGAAACTCACATTTGAGCCACAGATACATCAGTGGATTCGGATGAGTATGTTAACCAGACGCTAGAGATGATGACGGCTTTCAGCTTCCAGCGGGACGAAGGGTGGGGGCGCCCCTGCTGCCCGGGACCTCGGTGGGTCTTTGGGGGCCGCGTGGAGTCTTGGCGTTTGCTGCTGGCCGGCTGTGCTGTCGGGTTCAGTCACACGGAACCGCATCCCCGTTCTTCAGAAATCAGCACTGCATTTTTGTTTCTGAACAGAGAACAAATATAATTGTGGAAACACTCATATTGAATTCTCAAAATACGTTAGGACAAATTAGGTCGCCGCAGTTAGCTGTGGGCATCATTATGTTCTAATGGCAGAAACGACAGTTCCACCCGTCTTCTGTTTGTCGCTGGGGGTGCCCTTCGGTTCCTGCCTACACTTTATGGCTGGAGTGGACCTTGGAACTAGCAGTGCCCTCCCCACAGTCATACGGGGGCGTCACTAACTGAGAGGGTGAGTGTCTTTCAGACACTGAAAAAACGCCATCGTCTGAATTCCTGCAGTGCTTCACCTCTTTGTGGCATCGGGGCATTTCCTTACGTGCGTAATTTCACGGTCATCCCCTTCCCGTTCCTGGCAGAAGAACCCGGGGTTGGCTGCTGTGTGCGGCGGGGCGCCTTCCCCTCGGGAAGCCCAGAAGCCAGCTGACTTCAAACCAGGGCTCCTTCAGACCCTGAGGGCTGCTAGAGACCAAAACTGCAGGTGTTTGGGTAAAAGAAACTCAGGCCAGGGGGTAAAGTCTCTGAAGTAGAAAGTTCATTCAGTAAATGCTTTGAAATAAGTTTGCATTCATGCTCTCAAACCCTGGTCAGAATAATCAGCCTTTGTTAAGGGATATAAATGGCTTCAGAGAACCGTTCTATTTTATTTTTCATTTTTTTAATTTAAAAAAAGGGACTGACACAACATTGTAAACTGACTATACTTCAATAAAAAAGAATGCAAATTAAAAAAAAGGGGGAAATATTTTCTGTCTTTTCAAACTTCTCCCACCACCCCATCCCTCTGCGTCTGCTGTCGGCCCCCCTCACCGCCACCGCGCACGCACACACACACTGCCTGGTTCCCCTCCCAGCAGACAGCTCACACTGACGCTCGCTGGTGGTCCGTTTATACGAGCGTAGCGCAGAGTGACCTTCCGTAGGTCTCTGACATGATTTGTTTCTCTTTCGCCAGGCTTTCAGCTTAATTTAGATCATAAGTGGAGTTGTGTCGGATGGCAGCTGTCTTCGGTTGGCCCCAATATTACCGATGTTAAAGTAGACTGAGGCTGACTGAAGTGCCTCTGCAGCTGCACTGTCAGCTGCTTCTGAGAGAGTGCGCAGTGTCGCACGATCAGACCTGCTTGGTCTCGGGGAGGAAGCCTCGTGGTGTGGGGACGTGGCTGTGCTCCATGTCCAAGCCCTGCCTCTTTCAGGTTGGAGATGAAGGCGCAGTCACTGTTGCGGGCATGCGCGGGCACGTGGGGCAGCGGCGGTGCTGGCGGCACCCTGGCCTGTAGTCACTTCTTGACGTGCTCCCGCCTCCTGTCGCCAGTCACGGCCTGCTCTTCAAGGCCAGCGGAGCACTTGCCCGGCTTCCGTTGGTAACAGAGGAGCAGAAGAGGCACTAAGCTTTCCTGAGGTGGTAGCGAGGCTCTTAAAGGTGAAGGCCAGTGTCTTAGTTGCCCACACGCCTGTGTTTTCATGTGCAAACTCCTGCTTGACAGTTAAGCACTTTTTAAATGGGATGCATTCATCCTTTATCTTGTCAATGAAAATACTTCAAAGTTATCTCTCAACCATAGTGAAATTCTATTATTTTTTACCTTCCAGCCTCAAAAGCACACAGTGCAGTGACTGCTCAGTTTACTCACACGTGCGTCCTTCTGTTTTCAAGGTGCTGCCCAGAAGCATGGTGTCTCGTCTTTGCGAATCCAAAAAGCTGTGCGCCGCGGCCGATATGCAGCTTCAGGTGCGTGCGCGCCTCTGTTCTGAGCTCTCCCAGCGTGCTTATTCAGCATGAGTGCACGCCTTGAAATTCTTGCCCGTGCTGTGCATTTATTACAATAATTACGTTTCTAAAACATCTTTCATCTGAGTTCAAAGAACTTGACTGTGACTCATTCAGTCCTCTGGCTCTTCTTAGGGAGCAGGTGTCACGTAAGGTTATTTCCTGTCTTCCGTCGGGAAAGTCAGAGCTTGGGAAAGTTCCATGACTTCTAAGTCGTACATTTCAGCAACCAAGTTACATATTTTGACTCAAATTATGTCTTTTTATAAATTTGTGTTTTTATTAGATGTGAAATTTAAACAATAATCATTAGTTTTCTGTCATTTTCAAAAGCCAGTTTCCAGGTTTCCAGATAAAGACTAGGAACATTTTGTAAACCGTCCGGATGACGGGGCCACATGGTGCTGGACGTCTAGGTTATTTGTCATTTCTGAGTCCATTTGTGGACTTCTGCCTCGCCACCAGGCCCAGAGAGTGATGCGGACACAGCCCAGACACCCATCCTTCGCCTCAGGCAATAGTCGCTTTTTTTTGTAACGACCCAGTTGCTCATTCAGAAGTGTAGCCACTGTTTCATCACCTTAGAGTTTTGTAAAGTTCAGCCTCTAGAAAGTAATGAATGAGCTCTGGCTTTTGTGTGCCTTGAAATACACACTTCAGTGGAAAAAAATGCATGGTTTAGATAAAACCATGAGTTTACTTTTTTCAGTGTTTCTGTCTCACGCAATTGAAAAAGGATTTCTTTTTTTATTTTTTGGTGGGGGGAGGCAATCAAGTTTATTTATTTATTATTTTTAGTGGAGGCACTGGGGACTGAACCCAGGACCCTGTGCATGCTAGGCGTGCACTCTACCACTGAGCTAGAGCCTCCCCCCGAAAAAGGATTTCTGAATTACTTGAGAAGGCTCACGTCACTTGGCAGAAGTGTCTGATTTGCCTCTGTCTGCAGTGGAAGCTGTCCCACTTTGCAGAGGCCTGTGTCGTGTTAGTTACTCCAGTGATTTTCTGTTAAGACGGAAAACTGGCCTTCCAGTCCTCCCACCCTCCAGAAAGAGTGAGGAGAAGGGAGGGAAGGGGGGCGAAGAGAGGCTGAAAGGTTGAGGGAGGGGGGACTAGGCAGTTCCCGCGGGAGCTGCTGGGTGCTGTCCCTTCACACTATGGTCCTCTGTGCAGGGGGAACAGACAGGTGGGCACAGAATGAATTGTTTCAGATTTCTAAGTGGGTATAAACAGTGTTTTAAAAATTGTGGGGGTTTTTTGTTGTTTTGTTTTATTTTTTTGCTGTGCATTATTTTAAAAACAGCCCCTGTTCTTCTGTGGCCCTAAGGTTCCTGATCCCCAGCAGGCATGACCCCTGGGGAGTTGGTGGGGGGAGCTAGGCTCAAGCTTACAGTTGTTTGGTTCATCAGCAAATCAGCAAGAAACAGATGCACATTTAACTTACTTTGCTGTTTTGATAATTTTTTTAGAAGGTCATTCTAGGTTTATGTCTCTCATTTGTGAAAGGCATAACTGAAGGAACGAAGTGCCTGAATTCTGATTTGTTTATAGTTTGGGGCAAAAAACCCCCCACCCTAGTTGAGGTTAGAATTTAAAAATTTCAGTTCCTAATAATTTATTCATTTGGAATGTAGGCAGGATGTGGGCGGGCACCTTGGGCTCCTGCATCGCCCTTGTGTGTCGTTCCTGGGAGTCTCGCACAGACACAGATGTGTTCGGTACGTGTTCAGATTACCAGTTAGAGAAAGCAGTATTTATATTTAGGAAATGCTGGTATTTTTCTCAGAAAGGTTTAAGTTTGACTTTATAATTTGGAACCATAATTCCATATCTAGTTGAAGCCAGAAGTTAGAGGTCATTTAAATTTTTTCTTTTATCCAGACTAATCCTCACTTCTCTCAAGTCAACAGCTGCACATTCTCTACAGATTCCATCTTTGAATCAGAAAGATACGCATCAGAGACACAACCACACAACAGAAGTTTTCCCGTAAAACATTGTCTACTTTTCCCGCTTCAGGTGAAAGTCAGACAACATTAATATTCAAGCCAGCTGTTGCAGTGACAAAGTGCTTTATCTTTACTTGAGGTTGTCTCTGCAAAAGCTAGCTTGTAGGACTTTAAGCAGCAGTTTTCATGTTCAGACTCTTTCTAGTGCTTTATTATGTTCCCATGGCCTCTGTCCACTTCTCTCCTGGTCACCTCCCAAAGCCGCGGTTGCCTGCACAGTGGCTGCTGCCGGGTGTCTGCCCCCAGCTCTGGGGATCTGACTCTGGCCTGGCCCCAGACCTGATACCTGTACAGCCCTGCTCCCCTGACACCGGGCTGCTGCCCCTGCCTCCCCCGGCCCCCTTGGTCACAAAGCTAGGACTGGACCACGTCACTTCTCATTTGATGTGTATCAGGATTCCAGGAAGAAGCCAAACAGAATTTATTAGATCCAAGGGGTCACCAGTTATGACTTTATTTTTTCATACTTCCACCTATATATATATATATATATGTCCAAATAGATACATATGCATGTAGTTTTTGTGGTCACAAATTTAACTCACTATACTGTATATAAAGAGTACCTTATAGAGGAGGTTCAAAATTCTTTAATAACCTTAATCGTGAAAAGTTTGAGAGCTTTCCTTTCCATCACTAACATGGTCTTAAATGTGATACAGAATACATCTCAAACCGCGTACACGTGTGTGAATGTGTCTCGCTGTGACACTCTTCTCCTGGTACATGTGTGACGTCTGTGAGTGGTACCAGACTCAGCAGCTACTGTCATCCGTCTAGGTGTTCTATGCCGCTCTGGACCAGGTCTACCATGGGCAGCATCCCCTGGGGAGGTCGACCACGGACATCCTCAGGGACACCCAGGAGAAGTTCTATGGCCTGCCGTACGTCCCAAACACGGTGAGCCTGGCGTTCCGACCCTGCGTGTGCCATTGAGTCTGTCCAGTTGTGACCCTGAAGTCCTCTCCCTCCCGTGAGGCTTCCTACGACTGTGGGGCAGATGCTCGGGGTGCCTGGCGCTTCACCGCCCCCAGCCATCAGTCCGCATGTACTTATTTCCCTCCTGCCAGCGGTGGGGGGCGGGGTGTAAACAAGGCCATTGGCGCCATTCTTTGTGCGTTGTTCTTCTGTAAAGAGAAGAATAGTGACCTGAGACCATCCCCGCTGCAGAGGCAGTTAGCACTGAGAACCTCGCTGGCTCAGGGGTTTCGACGTGTGTGGCATCTCCCCGTGTCCAGTGCCCTGTCGGACGGAGAGCTGGTGCATCGTGACCCTTTGCTGAGGACTAGATGCCAGACTCTAGCCAGTGGCTTTGCCGGAAAATCTCTCTCACGACAGCCCTGTAACTGGATGGCTTCCCACTTTGGGGGCCCATGTTGAGGCTGGTCCCCATGGTGTGTCTCGCTGGTGGCCAGGTGGGCAGTCAGCGACGGTGCTGAGATTCAGACCCAGCCCCAAGGTCGAGTGTTTTCACGGCCCAGAGACCGGGGAGACTGTGGTGGGGCTCCCACAGGGCGACGCTGCGTCTCCGTCCCTCGGGACCTCAGGTCAGTATGGAGATGCCTCAGTGTGGCTGCAGGTGGCTGCTGGGGAGCGGGCCCGACATCGTCCCCCCGTTTCTCAGCTCTGTTCCTCTCCAGGTTCACCTGCTTCTCCTGGAGGCGTGGTGGCCACCAAAAGGTCGGCCTTCATCCCCTTCCAGCCTGGCTGTCCGCTGGGAGGGGAGCTGATTTGGAAGTGCGCTGCAGGCCGCAGCGCGCCCAGTAAGCATGGTCTGACTTGTGGTGGTGCTGGGCTCCGGCCCGTGCTGGGCGCAGAGCGCCAGTGAATCAGCAGATGGAACCGCCCGCTGGGCCTTGGGGCCCTGACCGTCACGCGTGTGCGGGAGGGGCTGGCCCGTCTTAGACAAGGGAAGAGCTGAAGTTCTGTCTTCCTCATGACCCCCCCACCCCAGCAGTTCCCGTTGTCTCAGACGCTTCGTCATCTGGGGCGTGGACTGCTGGTCACGCTGCCCACTCTGACCGTGTGTGTTGTCCCGGTGCTGGGTGCTGCTCTGCGCGTGGGTCATCTGTGTGAGGGAAGCTCTGTAACGATCAGAGTGACCTCCCTGTTCATCAGTGTGCTCACTCATGATAGCAGTGCCTCGATTCTAGGAGCGTCCCCCAGTTGACAGAGTTGCCTGATTCACGAGCTCTTGTGCTTGCGAGGTGCTGCACTCATTTCATGTTCTTCTTTGCTTAGCACTAAAATCCATGTGACTTAACTCCATGTAGTTAGAGCATGACCAGAAAGCAGTAAAGGGGTCCGATACGCTGGGAGGGGCAGCCACAGAGCATCAGTGGGCGCGGCACCTGTGGCTTGAGGGGCCGTCCGTGCGGGAGGGTGCACTTGGTGAGACACAAATGCAGGAGGCGTGGCTGCTTCATGGGGCAAAGGGTGCAAAGGAGGGTTCAGTGTGAGGTGATGATGGAATGCGCAGGCTCCTGTGAGTGACTGGACCCACGGGGCCGGAGCACGGGGCTTGGGCGTCACTCGCCCACAGAGAGAGGATGCTGTGTGCTCTGGGCAGGGACGGCGCCGAGCGGGAGAGCGTGCTGGGTGGGATGAGGGGACATCCCGGGGACAGCCGGGAGGGGAGCTGGAGCCACGGGCACCCACTGTCAGCCAGTGTGGGTGGGGAAGAGCTTCAAGCTGGAACAGCTTTTTTTGTTTCTCCTGCTACAGCAGTGTAGTGCTTTGCCCTCTGCTGCTATTTTGGGGTTACACTGACTATATGGCAGCTTGGAACGTTGTCTGTAGAACCTCTCTGTGGCTGTGAGTTCTGACTTCCCGAGTAACAGAATGATAAATAAGCCTTTAGCATATGGCTTACAGGCCATTTGCGGGCTCCCAGCCTGAAATTGCTCGAGTCTTGGAACAGGCTCTTCAGCTGAAGCTGCCTTGTCACAACTGTGTGCGCGGAGGAGAGTGACCGCTGACTCACCGGTTGGGAGGTGGAGGCTGCCAGTGGCGAGCCTGGCTGTTGGCCCGGTGTGCCCGCCCCGACCGGCTTTCCGGCAGACCTGGCCACGGGGACGGGCGGGGGGTTGAGGAGGGCACTCCTGTGCCAGGCTTCGCTTCAGCTCCTCGGTGGTCTCCAGAGAAGGCCGCTGACGCCGCCACCTGCCACGAGACGATGTTGCTGCGCACAATGTTTGGGTGTTAAGACCTGGTTTATTGCTGCTGGAGTTTATTTTCTGTCCTGTTCACTTAACAGTCCATTTTGAAGAACTCCCCTTTCTTCAAAATACATATGCGAGCGTGGGTAGAAATCCAGGTAGATACCTGGCATTTGTGCCTTCGAGCAGATTAAGAATCATGTTTTTATATGTGTAGTTTTAAATGTGTGTTTCAGAGCTTTTCACGGGCAAGGTCACAGCCCGTGACAGTTGTTCGTGTAAGAGCGCGTCTTGGCTTACTGACTGTCGGTGGCAGGAGGGCTTGTCGACTTTATTGTAAAAACTGTAATTTTAGATTCACTGATAAAACTCCAAGATAGGAAGTACTGACTGTTGAGTGACTTCCACCCTCCAGATTAAAAGGAGATCAGATTCTTTCCAATTAGTTATTTTTAAAGCAAGCCTGGTGAGAGGAGGTGGGACCTCACGGGGGTCTTGATCTGGAAATGCGAGGTCTGCTCTCGACCAGGCTGTCCCTGCCTCCCACTTGCTTGGATGTTGGTTCACAGAATGGCACAAAGGTCTCTTTTTTCCGTGTATAAAAATACTGTCTTCTAAACAGTACAGCTGGACCCCAGAGTGGTTAGAAGTTCAGCATCCTCTCTCCAGAGAATGCGGCTTAGGTTATCTGGTAAAAATGCCCATTTCTCCTCTGGAGGTTGTTCCCCTGGGGGAGCTCTGTCTCCTCCTATTCTTGTGCCCTGGCTCTTGTACAAATGAAAACACTCTCCTGGGAGGCAAAGGCGTGCCCGGGTGGCACCGTTTGGAGGATCTGTTGTTGCTAAGCAAATGTTCGATTAAACAAAACAATATTTATTTTTGTCTTTATCCCCAATACCGAGACCATATGGTGCACATCCAGAAGAACCTAAGTGGTTAATTGCATGTTAAATTCCTTTCCTCTTGGGCTGCGTAAACAACTGAGAAAACATTTACCTTCTCTGTCATGCTGGATTTATTTATGACTTTGTAACTCAAACACAGAAGTGTTATAAATTGAAACTTTAATCTCACGATTGACTCATTTTCTAAAAATTTATGTGGTTTCAGTTTGTGGGACAGCTGCGGCCCGAGATTTCACTGATTTAAAACTGAGGAAATTACATGACCGCCGGCTGTTTTTATAGCAAAGCGCTTGGAGCCACGTCACTGACTGTCACTTCTGCGCTGGTTTTCATGACGAGTGCAGCGCCCTTTTCCCCCCCTTTTTCTGTCTGCAATTTCACGTAGGCTAGAGATAATGAAATAAAAACCCAGGCTATTCGTTCTTTACCAGGTAAACGTTGCATTTTAAACAATATAGGTGTGTCTTTGAGATTTGAGGCTGTTTACATTTCCAGAGGCTTCCGCCCAGGCGACTCCTGGGTGAGTCATGATCCGGTGCACCGTGAGTGTGGGCAGGACGCGTGGAGCTCGGTGCCGGGTGTCGGGGCCCTGAGGCCTCGTTCCAGCGGTTTTCACTTCGTGTGTTTGGGACCCAGGGGACCAGCCGTGTGGGGAGCTGACGCGCATCAGCTGAGCGATGCGGGCTTCGCACTTGACTGCGTGTGAGCCGTGCAAGCCGGGCCTGAAGCGGTGAGCGCCAAAGGGCTGCAGGTGCAGTCTCCCTCCCCCTCGGCCCGTCCCCACTCCCAGGACCTCAGAGGGGACTGACCCCTCAGCTGATGCGCCTCCCCCTCCAGGAAACACCGCGCTTCACCTGCTTGTGCCTCACGCAGAAGCTGTCATGGGACCTGCACTCCTGTGTCGTTGGTGACCTAGGGGAGAACAGTCTTTGGAGCTGAGGGAGCAAAGGACAGTGCGTGGGTGTCAGGAGAAAACAGGAGGTGCTTGGAGCTGGGGAGCACGGACCGCTCCCTCATTGTAGTTTGTATGTGAGAAATAACACACACAGGCGGGAGGGAGGGCTCTTTGAAGACTGAAGAGACTGATGCCGGAGAGCGAAGGGGACGGGCCGGAGGGGGTGCGTGAGGGGGCAGCCTCGGTGGGAGTGGAGACAGAGCAGCACTGAGGGTCTTCGGGAAGGAGGGACCCCAGCCGCGCCGGCGCCAGCGGAGGGGACAGCCCTGTGGGACGGCCGGGGACCTGGGGAGGTAGGATTCTCAGCTGAGACCCCGGTTTCTGTTAGAACAAAAAGTGAAGGGGGTGGTCAGAGATAGATGACAGTACAGGTGCTTTGCTGACAGTGGAATTTCAGAAAGCAGAGTGGGGAGAAGAGGACAGAAGGTGGGATCCCAGAGTGTTGTGTGGCCCTGGTAGCGCGGGGCGGACGGCGCTGCTGGAGCTGGGGGGGCAGCCTGTGGGGCCCGGCCGAGAGGAGCGGGAGCTGCGGGGTTTCCACGCTGTTTGCAGGGTTGGGGGTGGTTCTCCCGTGTATGCGTGTGCGTGTGTGTGTTCAATCCTGACACTCCAGGCAGCGCAGAGGCAGGATGCCTGCAATTCTGTGTGGAAGCTGAGAACTTAGGTCCCCACTGTCTTTTGTCTCTGTAACGTTTCCCGAGGGTCTCTGTCTGAGCCAGCCACACGCAGGGCAGACAGTGTGCTGAGCTGGCCCGCAGGGGGCTGCGGCCCCCCTCCCGCAGGGGTTCCCTGTGTGCTGTCCGTCCTTTTGCCCCGAGAGCTGCCCCCCAGTCCTGATCTCCCAGCCCCACTCAGATTCGAGGTTCTGAACCCGCTCTTCAGACCCTGGGAGGACTGCAGGCAGCCCCATGGACACGTGCACCGGTGTGCACCCGATGCTCTGTTCGTGAAATACACCCCGAGGGTGGGGCCCTGGCAGTGGATTCCCAGAGCGCGCCGCAGAGTTAAATCAGATCGCTTTCCCTTGACAACCCTGATCTGACTTTAATTTCTGCCAGCCTGATAGACCACAAATACTGTAACTTATTTTTGCTCGTAATTATTTTATTACTAGTAAAATCAACGTCTTCCTTGTGGTATGTTTCCATCTTTATGGGGGCGAGGGGTAAATTACTTTTCGTCATTTTCTCATGTTCATCTTATTTTTGTAGGGATGTTAATCTTTCATCCATTTTGTAATAAATCCCCCATCTTGTTATTTATCTTCCAACTTGTGTAATTTCTAACCTTCGGAATGTCGTGTTTTTGTTGGTTTGCTGGATGGTGGTGGTGGCTCTGAGTTAAATTCGTCAGGCTGTTCTTGCTGTTTCCTGTCACGCTTGAAAAGAGCTTGCTGGCCTGAGAGTATTTACACTTCTGTCCATATTTTCTTCTAGTACTTTTATGGTTTTATTTTTAACTTTTACATCTTTGATGATTTAAGTTTATCACAGTGTAAGTATGAGATTTTTTTTTCAAGATGTCTCTCGGTTTTATTTTAACTTAATCCCTGTGAATGCTTCACAAAAACATACACATAGAAGCAAAAAAAACTATACAAACTAAATATCCAGCAGATACAACAAGTATCAGAAGGTCTAAGATGGACAGCTGTTAGGTGGCTGATGAGGCTGTTTGCATAATTTAAACAATCAACTTGGAATAAATAAATACTTTTAAAACATATAAAAGAAATTGGTAATCTGTAAAACAGTTGAATGGGTAGCATGCATTGATCAGCACACAGTGACCAGTAATATTTATTTA